AGAACTTCCTCTGAAGAGATCTTTATCCAGCTCTTGAGTTCTACCCTGCTGCACAGCAGTGGGAAGATGTGCCAGAAAACTGGGATTGAGGAATTTTCAGAAAGCTCAAATCCTAAGGACAGTCAGGGACTCTATAAAAATGTATGTCAAATACCACGAAACATGGTTCCTGAACTGCCAGCCTGAGAGGTCACGAGTTAAAGGGCCTTACAACTAAATTCCCATTCTACAGAAATTTAAGAAATATAAATTCACAAATAAACCTGATATGCAGAAAAAATTTAAAACTGGGTAATTATTCTTAGAATTTTGCACTTGAAAATTTAGCTTAACCTGTAATTCAAGTTGAAGCATTTGTGCCTATTTTCCATTTTCAGCTATGAAAACATCTTAATGTCTAGATCTGGAAAGAAAAGATGTTATTTTTTATTTTAAGGCTTGCAAAACAATATGCTTTGTTGGAGATTCATTCCCATCCTGTGGACTTTTGGATATATACACAGGAAATCCTTGTCAACAGGCTATTGGTCATAGTATAAAGGTTAGTTTCCATTTAAATAACCCCAATACCCACCACCATTTTTACTGTCATTTAGATTTGAAAGCCCAGTCAGAGCTCTGTTACATTCTTCGTCCTTTCAACTACTTCATCCAGTCACCCCTTAATAAACGGAGAGCATACGCTTATGAGGACTCCATTCACAACTTTCCATTCTAACTTTCAGGCCCTCATTTTTCTCTCAATGATTTCCTTCTCTTTTAATCTACTCTTTACAGAATATTCTGTCCTATATGATACCCCAACTTTGTGCCTAATGAAATATCAAGAATATACGTGGGAGGTAAATGAACTTGTGTCCAAGTGAATCCTCTACAATGCCCCATTCCTCAAAGTAATCTGGTAAATTTCGGGAGTTCTGTCATATTGATGGTAGTACCCAGGGCCCTGAGCAAGACCAATGGGATCAGTGGTGCTTTCAAAAGTTTTTCTTTTTTCATTGAGGGTGATCAAAATGCCAGGTACTATTCTAAGCCCTTTCCAAACATACATTTAGTCCTCACAACCACTCCATGAGAAAGGTACTGTTGTCACCCCTATTTTACCAATGAAGAAGCTGGGGTACACAAAGATTAAGCCCCTTATTCACAGTTACCGACTAGTAGGTACATGAGGCCAGGTTCAAACCCAGGCAGGCTGGCTGCAGAGCTCAGACCTGTGGCCACCAAAATATGTTGCCTCTTATTTATACTGTCCTTGTGTATGTATGTCTCTGTGTATGTGTGTCTGCAGAAACTCTACAAAGCCTGCCTTTAAACAGTTAATTCTTTGATTTCCCATTCAAGCACTGTGTATAGCAGAGGGGAGGCAGCAGCAGACAAGAGGGATAAAGCTCAGAGGCTATGTCTAGTTAAACAAGTATGAGGGCAATAAGGATGCTGACCAGTTAGGAAGGGGGCTCTACAGGTGAAAGCAGGCAGCCTCATCCTGGTTTGGGGTTGAGAAGGGAAACTTCCTGAAGGAAGTGATGTTTAAACTAAAGCAGAAGGATGAGCGGAGTTAGCTAGGCAGGGTGGGGGGGCCACGCAGGGGTGTCAGAGGAGGGGCCTAACCCCTGAGGTCATGAGAACTGCCAGAGCACGTACTGAAATTTTTCTACGAAAGCCTTACTGTTGCTGGCTGTCACACCCCAAGCTGGTCGACCTGTAGCCCCGCTGGCCGAGATGACATGATGTGCCACAGTACCACACACCATGTGTCCATCCTTTTCTCTCTCAGCAGGGTTTCACGTAGGCACATCGTAGGACTAAAATTACTTCAGCGATGCCTGCAGCAAAGCTGAAGGAAACACCAGAAGGCCAAAGCAAGCATGCTTTATTGAATTTATATGTAGAAAATACTTGTAGTTCCTTAGACATTTGCATTGCTATACAAATTACACTTTACGGGATAATTATTAATGGTTTGAAGAGAAATAAACAGTATAAACGAAATATAGCCGATACCATGAAAATGTCAACCATGTAAATCAAAATCATAAAATAATTATTCAGTACTCAGAGGCCTTCTTAATATATACATGTGAAATTTCTCATACACATATACAATAAAAGCCCACAAAAAAAGTGACTCTGAAGCCAATCACTGTACAAATATGAAAATAAATATCTTTAAACTCAATTTTATCTTCAGCAAGAGGGTTGTACGGTTTGGCTTCATGCAAATCACATTTAGTATTAAATAATCAAATGTCATATATGTCATATAAAGCAGCAAGTGGAAAAAATAAATTATGAAAATGCATGAGGCTAAAAGTTAACAGTGAAAAATGTCTCCATAGCCAATGTTCTTTTCCATGACAAAACTAAAATATTATCCATTGTGTCAGGATACATAAAAAAGAGTGTAGTTTAACTGTGATTTTAAAAGCTCTCCAAGGAAAAATTGAGACAAGGTGAGTTACTTGCATACAACTATGCAAGTGTAGCAAATTAAGTTCAAGTTAAAAACATTAGTTATTTTTGTTCTTACCAAAAATATACTCTAAATTTGAGAACACCTTCACGAAGTCAAATGTTAGTAATAATCTTGGTTTCCTAGCAAGGCAACTGAAAGAGCTATAAGTAGCTTTTCTTTAAACAAGATTGCTAACCGGAGCTATAAGTCTCTAATGGAGCTATAAGTCTCTAATTTGGATTTTGTTGCAAAAATATCTATTCAGGTTCAATTAGTTAAAGATGATTGCTTTGTTTATCACAGGCACCTATGTAATCTAATCAATTTGGGTGCACTGGCTGTACAACCCAGAAGCAAAGACCAAGATAATACTTCTGTATCAAAGGTATACTATCATATACAGATTGTAAGACAAATATAGACACTTTGTGGGAAAATAAATAAAGACAACACAATAACATGTATACCAACACAGTTTTGTGCAATTGCACCAAACACCTAAACTTGAGTACCATATATCAACACATAGGTGTCAGGCCTATTCTAACCTAGGCTCCATAGATGCCACCTAGGCAAACAGCAGTGGCAAAACTTTCATCACACCATGGCACAAAAATAACCATCCCTCCCTGGTTCAGTTTGACAATTCCCCACCAGCAAGGCATTCTTTTTGGTAAAAAATGTAAACTTTTTTTTCTCCTGGGACCAAAAAAAATAGAAAACAGGAATCCATGGTAGAGTTGTTGAGGACAGAACCAACTTTCCAGTAAAAAAAAAAACAAACCCAACTAGATCTCACCAGTAGAGAGAAGGCACACTTTGAAAAGCTAAACGGACGTTGTGGCTAATTATAATCTCTGTGTGCTAACATGATCATAAAAATCATCAATAGAATTGTTTTAATTCTACAAGAGGGATGTTTTTAGCTTATGTATTACAATAAATAAGAGGTATTATTTAAGTTTTTTCAGCAGGCTACTTGGGGCCTGGACCTATGAACAAAGGTAAGTTCAAGACTCTAGTTGGGAATAACTTAGCTGGTTCAGGCCACTGAAAACCAAAACCAAAAACCAAAGAGCATGCCTTGCTGACCCACCCTGGGGTCAGGTACTGACTCCTTTGGCTTTGGAGACATTTCAGTGGGGAGGTCTGAGAGGCAGTACGGCTTCTAGGAGGGCAAAACCTATCAGGCTGTTGGTGAGGATGAGTCCCTAATCACCTGAAACAAAGGACTCTGAGTTACCTGTACCCTAACCACAATTCCTCTTCAAAAGAGGTGATTTTCCAAAACTACACATAACGTTTCTTTCACTGTTCATTATTTAAGGAGGAGAATGCTGGCAACCAGGGAGTTAGGGGATTTGCATTATTCTGGAGATTATACTCTTAAACCATGGGTAAACCATGGGGAGGTTTGAGCATGCATATTTTCATTCAGCAAAATGTTAAATCAATACTAGTGTATTTTTTGAATGAGATATAATTCACATACCATAAAATTCACCATTTAAAGTATACAGTTTAGTGGGGTTTAGTATATTCACCAAGTTGTGCAACATTACCACAATATAATTCCAGAACATTCTCATCATCCCGCAAAGCAACCATAGACCCATTAGTAGTCACTCTCAGTTCCTCCCTTTTACCAGCCCCTGGCAGTCTCTTGCTGGTGTTTTTTTTTTTAAGTGAAGTGTGACAACTTTCCTGGGCATTGTATTTTCAGTTGCATGTCGCTTTATATTTTTTCATTAGAATTTTTAACAGTGAATTCAAACCATTGACTTTATAAGTATTCTGAGATTAAAAAATACCCTCTTTTATATACAAACTATTTTTGTCCCCCAAAACACTTATTTTGTTTTCTTTCTTTATATATAAAAAATAGATTTTTCTGTCTCCACTGGAGCTTAAAACATTACCATTTTTTCTCAAATTCTGTTCTTGTACAAGAAGTGAGAAAAATTAATACCCCAATATTTTAAAAGTACAGACAGGGCTTCCGTGGTGGCGCAGTGGTTGAGAGTCCGCGTGCCGATGCAGGGGACGCGGGTTTGTGCCCCGGTCCGGGAAGATCCCACATGCCATGGAGCGGCTGGGCCAGTGAGCCATGGCCGCTGAGCCTGCGCGTCCGGAGCCTGTGCTCCGCAAGGGGAGAGGCCACAACAGTGAGAGGCCCGCGTATGGCAAAAAAATAAATAAAAAAATAAAAATTAAAAGTACAGACAAGCAGAGTCCTTATTAACTGTGGGCCATCATGCTCTCCTTCTCACTCCTTAAAAGAGCTACAGAGCTGAGAGGGCCTAGGCCTGAAAGGCTATAAGCTGCTTGTTTACAGATGAGGAAATGGATCTAATGTGGGTTGGCAACACGTCTGAGACCACAAGGCTAGTTTACAGCAAAGCTAGGATGGTAACCCCCTTTTATTAGTTTGCTAGTATTGAATATTGGAAGTAAATGTCATAGGTTATTTACCACATGAACCTAATTACGTCAGTGAATTTCTTTTATAGCTCTGATCTGAGCATGTGCTTTTTTTTTTTTTTTAACCCCTTTAAAAACATTTACACACTATCTATTAAGACTTTGTAAGGATAAGACAGGTATATTTAACCAGGGGGCCCAAATCACTCATTGAAACATAGCAAAAAAGAGCCGAGGTTCTGGAGGGACCTGAGAGCACAGTTCAGATTTCCCACACTGTAACTCTCCATACGACAGGGCCTGTAGGACGTACCACTCCATGTAGGAAGCAGATAAGTCACGGACATTCAGTACTCTGGGAATGAAGGCTTCGTGGGCCAAGGATCTTTTGGATTTAACCATTGCAACAATTCTTCATCTGGGTTGACTTTTTGGAACTGGTCCCACTCAGATTGGTAATGGATTTGCTGTCATGCTCATCAGTTCTTTTTTTCACTTCCCTGGAGGGAGAGAGAGAGACACAGAGAGAAAGGAGATTACTGAGGTATAAAACTGAACCATAAACAACTCTGTAGAAATAAAAGAGCACTGCTGAGCACTTGCTGTGTGCCATCCAGACAGTGTTCTAAGTGCTTTGTAGGTGTTGACCTATTTAATCCTCACAACAACTATATGATTTTGTTGTGCCCCATTTTATGTGAGGAAAAAAAGGCAAAAAAAAGTTAAGAAATTTCCCTTAGGTTACACAGCTGGAGAAGTGGCCACACAGGTGGGCTCCAGTGCTCACATTCTCAGTACCAGGCCACACGCTCATGCATGCGCGCGCGCGCACACACACACACACACGCCCAGGTGCCTATACACGTGTGCACACACTCACATGCACACACACAGACTATTCTTGCTCTCTCCTGTGGTTTTGCATGGCTTATAGTCTGCACACGCACAGGTCACTCCTTAGGACTCTGGAACCTGGCTCCCACCCCCAGCTAAGGCTTAACATTAACATTGACTTTATAACCATTCTGTAATTATACAAGATCGTGGAGATAACAACAGATGGTTAAAATCCAGAAAAAATGTCTTCCTTTTGCCTCTTCCTAAATTTCTTTTAGAAATAACTGCTAGAGGCAACACTGGACCAAAGATCTCCATGATCTTATGAAAGCCCCCTAGGGAAGTCTCCTATCCCTGGGGATGCTTGTGAAATACACACATCCTGAAGTCCCACCTTAGACAAGCTGAATGGCAAACTCTGTGAGTAAGGAGAGTGTGACAGCTTGTCCCCAAGACAACCCCCAAGAGTTCTGCCTCCGCTGTCAGTGTCTGGTGCCCCCCATTAAGTGGTGAAGCTTGTGTCACTCCCCCATGGTCAGCACTGGCTCTGTGACTGCTCAGACCAATAGAATGGCGAGGAAATGGTGTGCTAAAACTTCCAAGCCAGGCATTAATAAGGCCTGACCATTTTGAGCTGCCATTTACGAAGCCCAGTGTTCCTCACTGGAGAGAGGGCAGCAGAGAGGTCCAGGGGGCTGAGATGCCACAGGGAGGAGCCCCCTGGCCGCAGACATCAGACCGAGCCACAGCAGTGTCCACGACCGCAAATGCATGAGACGCCCGAGGGAGAGCAGTCACGGACCCTCCAGTGAGATCCAGTCACTTCTGGTAATTTCAAAAACTAAAAAGTGGTCTTGTTCTAGGCGACTACATTTTGGGTGGCTTGTTACAAAGCAGTAGATCCTGGGAATTGGCATATTCCCAGCACAGCAACGCTGTTCAATAGAAATAGAATGTAATTCACGTATGTAATTTAAAATTCTTCAGCAGCCACAGTAAAAAATGTAAAGAGAAATAGGTGAAATTAATTTTATTAACATATATTATTTAACTCAGTACTACAAAAATACCATTTTAGCATGCTACCAATAAAAATATTAATGAGCTATTTTACAATTTTTTTAAACATCTTTATTGGAGTATAATTGCTTTACAATGGTGTGTTAGTTTCTGCTTTACAACAAAATGAATCAGTTATATATATACATATGTTCCCATATCTCTTCCCTCTTGCGTCTCCCTCCCTCCCACCCTCCATATCCCACACCTCCAGGCAGTCACAAAGCACCGAGCTGATCTCCCTGTGCTATGTGGCTGCTTCCCACTAGCTATCTACCTTACATTTGGTAGTGTATATATGTCCATGCCTCTCTCTCGCTTTGTCACAGCTTACCCTTCCCCCTCCCCACATCCTCAAGTCCATTCTCTAGTAGGTCTGTGTCTTTATTCCTGTCTTACCCCTAGGTTCTTCATGACATTTTTTTTCTTAAATTCCATATATATGTGTTAGCATACAGTATTTGTCTCTGTCTTTGTGACTTACTTCACTCTGTATGACAGACTCTAGGTCTTTCCACCTCATTACAAATAGCTCAATTTTGTTTCTTTTTATGGCTAAGTAATATTCCATTGTATATATGTGCCACATCTTCTTTATCCATTCATCTGTTGATGGACACTTAGGTTGTTTCCATCTCCGGGCTATTGTAAATAGAGCTGCAGTGAACATTTCGGTACATGACTCTTTTTGAATTATGGTTTTCTCAGGGTATAGGCCCAGTAGTGGGATTGCTGGGTCATATGGTAGTTCTATTTGTAGTTTTTTAAGGAACCTCCATACTGTTCTCCACAGTGGCTGTACCAATTCACATTCCCACCAACAGTGCAAGAGCATTCCCTTTTCTCCACACCCTCTCCAGCATTTATTGTTTCTAGATTTTTTGATGATGGCCATTTTGACTGGTGTGAGATGATATCTCATTGTAGTTTTGATTTGCGTTTCTCTAATGATTAGTGATGTTGAGCATTCTTTCATGTGTTTGTTGGCAGTCTGTATATCTTCTTTGGAGAAATGTCTATTTAGGTCTTCTGCCCATTTTTGGATTGGATTGTTTGTTTTTTTGTTATTAAGCTGCATGAGCTGCTTATAAATTTTGGATATTAATCCTTTGTCAGTTGCTTCATTTGCAAATATTTTCTCCCATTCTGAGGGTTGTCTTTTGGTCTTGTTTATGGTTTCCTTTGCTGTGCAAAAGCTTTGAAGTTTCATTAGGTCAAATAAAAAAAATTTTGTTTATCTTTGTTTTTATTTCCATTTCTGTAGGAGGTGGGTCAAAAAGGATCTTGCTGTGATTTATGTCATAGAGTGTCCTGCCTATGTTTTCCTCTAAGAGTTTGATAGTGTCTGGCCTTACATTTAGGTCTTTAATCCATTTTGAGCTTATTTTTGTGTATGGTGTTAGGGAGTGATCTAATCTCATACTTTTAGATGTACCTGTCCAGTTTTCCCAGCACCACTTATTGAAGAGGCTGTCCTTTCTCCACTGTACATTCCTGCCTCCTTTATCAAAGATAAGGTGACCATATGTGCATGGGTTTATCTCTGGGCTTTCTATCCTGTTCCATTGATCTATATTTCTGTTTTTGTGCCAGTACCATACTGTCTTGATTACTGTAGCTTTGTAGTATAGTCTGAATACAATTTTTATACTGTCTTCAAAACCCAGTATTTATTTAATACATCCAGCACATCTCAGCTTGGATTAGCCACACTTCAGGTGGCTAGTGGCTACTAAACTGGTCAGCACAGCCCCAAAAGGAGCTGATATGTGCTAACCTTTGAAAACCACTGCACTGTGAGTAGGAAACAAAAGGGAAACTGGTTCTTGCTGGAGACTAGTTAATAAATGCTATGTTACATGTTTTCACATAGTCCTTATTTAATACACACAATACACACACATGCTGACAGGTAACAGGTGAGCATCAATGTCTTCCCTTCACAGATAAGAAATAAAGACTCAGGAAAAGAAGGAGGATACACAGTTCAACCCCATGACACCCTGTAAGACTTGGTTCAGACTTCTGACCTCCAGAACTATTATTTTTATTGCTTAAAGCACTAGGCTAGTAGGAATCTGTTACAGTGACAATAGAAAACTAATACAACTTCCAAATGCAAAATCTTGACCATTTGGTCATTCAACAAATGTCCGATTTATGCCAAACTCTGGGATCCTCAACCAGTGAGCTTTTTTTTTTAATTGTAAATTTTTTTTTTTTCTTTTTAAATTTGGCTGTGCCGGGTCTTAGTTGTGGCACACGGGATCTTCCTTGTGGCATAGGGGATCTTTAGTTGCAGCATGCGGGATGTTTTTAGTTGCAGCATGCAGGATCTTTAGTTGTGGCATGCGGGATCTAGTTCCCTGACCAGGGATTGAACCTGGGCCCCCGGAATTGGGAGTATGGAGTATTAACTACTGGACTACCAGGGAAGTCCCTCTCAACTAGTGAGCTTTGAGAGAAAGCCAGATGTCTTCTAAATAAATCATTACCAGGTCCCCGAGAGCCGCTAACACACAAGCACAGTGGAGCCGACCTCTTGGTGGGATAGGAATTCACTGTCATTTAATGAGGAAGAGAGATTCCAGGTGCAGGGAATAGCATGTATAGAGGCAAAGAGGCATAAAAGAACTTGGCTATGACCAGAAGCAAAGTTTGCTGTGTCTATAGATTATCATTCATTTGGGAAGCAAGATAAGAGATGCAAATAGAAAGGTAGGTGAACTGGGCTCTGGGGGACCATTAGCCACTTGCTAAGGAGGCTGGACTCTATGCTGTAGGTAGGGCACCAATGTGGGGTGCAAGCAAGAAGGTCTTAATTGGATTTTTATTTACAGAGATTACCCTGATTACAGGGTGGAGGATGAACTGATGCTGGAGAAACTCTGAGGCAGAAACTTAGGTCCCTCCTGCACTAAACGGGGTAGGAAATTTTGAAGCCTGAAGCAGAACAGGGTGGGGGCGGGGAGGGATTGAAGGAAGATTGCAGAGAGGTCACTGAATCAGTAGGGCCCCAGAACCCACTAGAGGCAGATGATGAAGAAAGACGAAGGAGTCAAGACTGACTCTAGGTTACTCTTTTTCAATTATAATGTTAGTAGTTTCCTGAGAACCGGAGTATAGAATAAGGAACAATTTTAAAGAAAAATGAACACATTAGGGTTTAGATATGTTGGATCAGTCATGCCTATGGAATTTTCATTTGTTGGTGGGTGGGAATATAGTTGTGGAATTTTAAAAAAAGATGGGAGTTAAAAATACAGAAATTAGAAGTCACCTTCTAGACACAGTTCTAGAAACCATGGTGGTGGAAGACATTAGGTAGAGAGAGAAAGAGTAAGAGGAAGAGAGTGCAGAATAGAATCCTGAGATTACCAACATTTAAAAGGCAAGCCAGAGATTCAGAGTAGTGAAAAGTCCCAATTTTGCCATTTAGTACTGTGTCACTTTGAGCAAGCTGATGAAGCATTCTAATTTTCAATTTTCTTATCTGTACAATGGGTTTAGTAAACATAGCATCTTCACAAGACAACTCACATCTCTCCCTTCTGGAAAGTCTAAAAGGCCTCTGTAAATTACATATCATATGGCTGCCTGGTCATGTATTTTGTTTTCTTTTTTTTCTCTAATGTTAAATTGCACAGCCTATCTTACATAACCTGATATCTCTACAGGGCTTTCATACTGAGCAGAAATGATAATAATGCAGACATTACTGAACATTGAAAGCAAACATTAAGGGAGAAAAAATAGGTACCCATATTGTTCACCTGGCCTTCAGTTTCTTTAATCTACCAAAGATGCAAGCATCTCCCACTTTAAGGAAATCAGGAAGATATAATTCCAAACATCTAAAACAGGTTTAAGGCTGGGAAAATTAAATTACCTCACCCCAAACTGCCATGTACTTAACAACTGCATTTTAAATGACTCAATCTTATGGACAGATTTATCCCCAATGGGCTCAGCAATGGCGCTGAACTGATACATCAGCCCGAGCTTTTCGTGTTTTTCTCAAATTTTAGGCCATTGACCAGTTTAATGCCTGTTGTACTTGAATCTATTGAAAAATGTTTAAAGCCTGTGGCTCTAGTGATGGCAGATTTACTTACCAGTGGACAATGGTTGGAATGAATGTCTATCAGCCCTACAGGGAAACTGCATTTCTAGGAGAAACTTTTCCTGGGATAGACAGGGTTTTCCAAGAAAAAGCAGAGGAGTTCAGGTTGTTAACCAAACATTTATGGCCTTCCTTCAAAAACAAATACTGTTTCAGACAGTGCAAACCCATAAACTGTTCTAGTTCAAGTTTTATGACATAACATGGTTTGAAGGGGAGTTACTATTATACATAACATTCTGAAAGCTGTAAAACTTTTTAAAGTGGTAATTTCACTTGTGGAAACGATACCATTTTTATTTAAGACTTGGGTATTTTGACAAGCAATCTGATGACACAGTATAAAGCAAATTAAAGTCTTTACATGTTTGGTTTATTTATAATTTTCCTGTTTAACACATTGTTAACATAACAAACCTAGAGGCCTCAAACCAGCCCATAATGCAATAGCAACAATTTAAAAAGCTCCTTGATAAGTGATTCACAAGAAGTGACCTTGTTATCAGAATGCTCCTGCACACAGGTTTTTTTTTTTTTTTTGCGGTACGCAGGCCTCTCACTGCTGTGGCCTCTCCCATTGCAGAGCACAGGCTCCGGACGCACAGGCTCAGCGGCCGTGGCTCACGGGCCCAGCCGCTCCGCGGCATGTGGGATCTTCCCGGACCGGGGCACAAACCCGTGTCCCCTGCATCGGCAGGCGTACTCTCAACCACTGCGCCACCAGGGGAGCCCCACACAGGTGTTTTAAGTAAAGAAGCTACACTGTAAACAGGGAGGCTGCTGGGCTGACCCAACATGCCAGCTGGAGCACCAGGGGAAAAGGCTGTCGTCGGCTCTCCTATCTTTATGATATAATAAAGAGGATCGATTCTGCACTCTGGGTGTGACCGGGGCAATTTGGAGTCATTTAACTGTAATGTGACCCCACAAGACAATTCCGCGTTAAATAGTGATTATGTTATTCAGTAGAGTCCAGGCTATTATTATATACGGAATCATAGACTGTCAGAACTAGAAGGGGCCTTAGGGATCATTTTCTTTAGCCCCTTCCCTCATTGTACAGATTAGAGATGCCTAAAGGAAGACAGGGACTTAGTCAAGACTCCACAGCTGTTCGGGGTAGATTTAAGGTTGGACTTTGAGCTTCCTGACACTACAGTCCTCCAATGTGCTGGGCAGAAGCCAGCAGCCATGCGGAGGACCTGGCCTGCAGCATCCTTTCCTGCTCAGCCCAGGCAGCAATTCAGCACTCCCTGCCTGAAGCTAAGGTAGCACGGAGCCCCTTACTGTACTAAAGTTAAGATTCTTATAAAATCAGAATCTCACAAATGATCTCACAAATCTCTATTTGCCTAAAATTATGTTTTTGCTTTGTCAGCAATTAAGGATCATTGGCTGGATTTTGTTAATGCACATTTTTATATTTTTTCTTTCTTTTTTGGGGGCGTATTGAATCCCTTTAGATCAGCAAAGAATCATTTTTTCATCTGTGGCAGAAAACTAGGCAGAAGAAGTAAATCCAGCAGAAAACATTGTTATTTCCTAAGAATACTGCAAGGATTAAAATACAGTTAAAACCAAGTTCCTCAATGATGCAATTTTCATTCTAATCCACATCCCAAAATGTTATATATTATTAACACCATTGCCTTAGCTTAATAATTACCTGGGTTAAATAATGTAAACAAAGTGCTTCCAACTGGCATGATATACAGTTTGTTTTGTTGAGTTCTTTTTCCTTTACCTTGGAAAATGTCATAATATAATAGATAGTTATATTCATAATAGTCTCCTGTGTTTAAAGTCTGGTTCCTAGAAGTGATTCACACACGTCAACTATTAGCTTTGTGGGCACATTTTGCAGAAATGTCAGTGACACCTCAGATGCACCTGCTTTGTTTGGCAGTAGAGGTATTTTGCCAATGTTCACAGTGAACAAGCAGCATACCAGTTTTTTATAAAAACTATGTTTGTTTCTCCAGCCACTACTGAAAGACAAGAGTGTTTTCCCATGTAGATTCACATTATGGTCAAGAAATTTGACACATACAACAGCTAAGTGAAAATTCAATCCTACATCCAGTTTTCCAAATATAAGGCAAAACTTTACCGAGTAAGGTGGAGAACAGCTTCCACTATATTCGAACCATCTTTGGCGCTTGTTTCACAAAATAATGCCCCATAGGTCTGTAAAAAACATATATATACCATTAAATGAAGGCTTTGATTAGGTTTCCTGGAATGTTCGCTTTTAAAACCAATAAAATAAAATAAAAATATTGCCCTGTTGAGTATGCTAAAACTAATAGTTAAGAAATTGGATTGAGTTTCAAGACTTTAAAAAAAAAAACAGGTTTGAGCCTACTTATTCCAGGAACAGTTCCTAGTCAGAGATTTTTATTTTGCATCCAAAAAAAAAAAAATCCCACAATACAAAATTTCATGGTTTAAGGCTCTTATATCCAAGTGTCACACATACTACCAAATGTTCTCTATCAAATAATTTGAGAGAGAGAAAAATGCTAGCTTAAGGTAACCACTTAGGAATTAAATGTCCATCAAAAATATGTCTCCTTTTGGCTGGCAGCTAACACACATCCCACCCCCCCTTCAATCTATCATCTTTTCCTATCAAGATTCAGCAGCCTCTGTGTTGCTAAAACCAATGGACATTTTCTAGTCTATTACTTAACCTCCCAGTGGTTATACATACAATCACTGATCGTATCACTCTCCTGCTTCAGACCTTTCGATGCTTCCCATCCCTCTCAAGCAATGTTGGAATGCTTACCTGGCCGACAAGGCCTAGCTTGTACGTGGCCCCAGCCAACCTCCCAGTTTTACCTGCCACCACTCTCCCTCACTCACAGTGCTCATGTTACCCTGGCCGTCCCTCTATTTCCCCAACACTCCAAATTTCCTCCCACCTCAGGACCTTTTCACCTGCTGTTACCACTACCTAGGTTATCCTGTATCCCTAGTAACTCTTTCCCCAGGCTGACTTTTACCTACCTTCTAGATTTTTAGGTAATCCTCCCTTGAAGTTAAGATTAAGTGTTTTCTAACTCTGAAAAGTTGGTATTAGGTCTTCCTACTGTAAAACCTCTTGAGGCATGTATTTTTCCCGCATAGCACTTGCCGCAGATGTAAATGATGAGGTTATTTTTGGGTGTCTTTGTCTAACAGCTGGAGACAGTTTCCTTTAGGAAAGGAGAATTATGTGCGCTGTGGGGCTGGGTGTGGGCAACACAGTCCTGTGTGGGATACGGGCAAGATGTGATGGGTGCTCTGGAGCAGGGAGAGAAGGAAGAACCAAACAATGGGGAAAGACTACCGTGAAACCTTTACCCATGAGCCCCCAAATCCATAGAAAATCTAAAAAATACCCCAAATGAATGTATTTCTAGTAGAAATGGGTAGTGCTGCTGCTGAATTTCATAGCCAGGATGTTATAGGGTGAAATAGAGATGGCCTTTGAGGATGCAGGAGGGTGGAGGACATGAGATGCATAATAAATAAGCAAACCTTGGGAAATCTGAGAAACTGGGGGGAGGCAATAAAATTGGCATGTGGCCAGGAATTATGAGCTCTCTAGGGGAATATGTGGATTTCGTGGGTTTAACATCTGTCTTCCCCAGACAGTAAACTACGTGAGGACAAGGACGGTTTCCTTTGTTCTCTACCCTTTGCTCAGCTCACAATGAAGTGCTTTTTCACATGGTGGATACAATTAAATATGTGTTGAATGGATCTCTTCTATATTTCACTGCCTAGTTTTGATGTTTATCATATTTGGCTCACAGTTCTAAAATTTAAAACAAGAAACAATTCCAACTTAGAATAGTGGAATGGAAACTTCTTTTTAAAGTTCACATGTATATGTTATAGAGCAGTCCTTTCAAGCTGATGACAGACAACAATGATAGCGATGTCAGATCGGACTGTTATGATAAGAACTTCATATTTGACCTAAGGAGCATCTGGTTCCTTATTTGGGTAAGACAAGTCATAAGAGGGCCACATAGCATTCTGACCCAATGATAATAATGAGAGAATAAACACTGCCCACAGTAATAATCTGGACAGAAATGAGGTCCATCCTTTGTACAAATGCATAGCCAAAAATAATTTTATACTATTCCAACTGACTACAAATCGTAGAAGAAAGAATGAGTCTTCCAATTCTCTTCACCCCTTTACCCAGATGACACACTGCACCATCTGCTGCCCCTTGGCACAGTGACCCTCTGGAACCAAACCCATCTTTTCAAAACAGGACACCCATTCTTCTTCCTCTACCTAGGTTCCAGGACTAGAGAAGGATTCCAGGAACTGGGGAAGAGTGAGGAGGAAGACACAATAATTTTGCATCCTCTTTCTCACTGGTACTCAGTGGGGGAAGATGATCATGTGATTGTTTTACCTCCACAAGGGATTTAACTCTTGGAATAATTATTTACATTCATGGGACGGATAGGGGCCACTGGGAGTTCTGCCTGTATAGGGACAGAAGACTTATCAAACAGAGTGGAGTTTGTCAAACAGCCTCTTCAGCAAATGTAGACAGAAGTGAAAGGTCCCTCCCAATTTGGACCCACTCTTACTCTTACCATGGCCAGTTTTTCTCCAAAGTACCCTGGGACACATTTTTGTCCTTCCGCTTCAGCAGCATCACGAAGATCAGCCTTGTTTCCTACCAACATGATAGGAATGCTGTTATGGGCTGCATCCTACCATGAAGAAAAGAAAGAAATTGTGCATACATGAAACATTGGGCAAGTTATGAGGTTGATGATGACAACAGCTACCCTTTCTGAATGCCCCTTACATGCCACATGATGTACAGACAATATCTTTAAACCTCAAAATATCTCTAAAAGGAGCCAAACCTTCTCCCATTTCCAGATCAGAACACTGAAATTCAGAGAGGTTAAATAAGATGTTGTAAGGGCCAGGGGTGGTCCAAACTGACTCCATCACCCTTGCCACTATACAAACTAATACCAAACTCAAGAGGCGCGACCCCAGAATTACATTTGGCTGTAGTGCCCACATAATTTTCTATAATTTTCACTCAAACAGTGGTGATTACAAGTCAACTTCATTATCGCAGGTACAAAACACAAATATTCCCTCAGCTATAATGGGACAAAAATGGAGTCTCAGAGTTCCACACTCGCTGCTATCTGGCTTACAACAAAAGCAAGATCAGAAGGCCCTAAATGTCAACACTTTTCTTGTGAAGAGCCAAGGAGCAGTCATTCAAATTAACAGATTCTCAGGATAATGCTCCCCAAATCAGCATATGCATACTGTTGCACTGTCTGTCCCGGCATTCATAGAGGAGCTGGCTGGCAGAATGTAAGATGTGAGAGGCAGAGTTTAGTTTGAGACTCTGTCCCTCCCACCACCTGGCCACTCGCCGGCTGCATGAAATCAGGCAGTCTCTTCCTGTTTCTGCCTCCATTTCCCTATCTGTAAAACGAAGGGGGCAGTAAGGACGCATCCCCCTGAGCAGGCTATGAGAATAGAAGACAACCTGCCTAGAAAAACAGGTTTATAGCTCCTGAACAAGCGAAGCAGCAGCCCTCACTGAGAAATGACTCTTTGTGGTGCCTAAAAACATCCAGGTGCTCATCCACTTTGGTACCACACCTGATACAGCATCAAGAAATGAGCCTCAAAAACAATGAAATTATGCCACTTCACTGCCTTTTGGACTCGTTTCTGATGTCATTATTGTATTGTGGTTCCTCTGTACACAATGAGTGATTTTTCTCTTGCTTTCAACATTTTCTCTTTGTTTTGACTTTTAGCAATTCAACCATGATGTGTCTAGGTATGGATTCTTTTTTTTTTTTAACATCTTTATTGGAGTATAATTGCTTTACAATGTTGTGTTAGTTTCTGCTGTATAACAAAGTCAGCAAATAATTATAGAGTCAGAAAAACCATCCTTTAAAAATGAAGACAGGGCTTCCCTGGTGGCGCAGTGGTTGAGAGTCCGCCTGCCAATGCAGGGGACACGTTCCGGTCCGGGAAGATCCCACGTGCCGCGGAGCGGCTGGGCCCGTGAGCCATGGCTGCTGAGCCTGCGCGTCCGGAGCCTGTGCTCCGCAGCAGGAGAGGCCACAGCAGTGAGAGGCCCGCTTACCGCAAAAAAAAAAAAAAAAAGAAAACCCAGGAGTTTCCCCCCCCTTCCCCACCCCAGAAGCTCACTTTAGTAGTGTCCTTAGCTCTGTGGGAACTTGCCCAGCTACTGAGGAGGAGACCAGTACTGCCAGTGCCATTGGGAACCCCACTTCTCACATCCAGTTCTTCCTGAGAGCCTGGATCAGTGGCTTGTAATTGAGTTCATTTTGACAAAGAAGAGAAACAGCATTTCCCGAGACAGCCTGTAGCTCTCCTATGTAATTTTTTGGTTCTCTGTTTTGAATTCTTACCTCAATCATATCTACCCATTCTCGTACATTAAGAAAGCTTTTCTCACACGTAACGTCATACAGCAGCAAAACACCATCTGCTCTTCTGAAATAGGACTTGGCAATACTTCTGAATCTGGAAAAGAGAATAGCACGTAATTGTTCTAATCAGTCAGTCAGTTTGGTGCTGCCTCATTCTTCATCTCCTTTATGCTCACTTTTTCCCCTCACCTTTTAAAACAAGCCCCAATTGAGAAGAATCTAATGGCAACCTATTACTGTGAAATAGTCATCCCCGAGGCCTAGAATGACCTGGTGAAAGGTAACAGAGTAAGAATCTGGGCTAGTGATTTAGAAAAGCCAATCATTTTCTCCACCAAATAATCCCAAGAAAGTCTACATACCCCAGAGCATAGCCAGGACAAGGCTGAGATCGTAATTTCTAAAAATTTCAGCCTCAGCAACACACTACCAGAACCCAGCTGTGGGACACAGAAGGGTGTGTGTGAAGGAAGGAAGGAGAGGCACATCAGAGAAAAATTATTTTTTGGCTGGTGGGTAGGTGGTAGAAGAACTAACCATGTGGAACACCACAGGACACACACACAGGGTGTTGGGGGCTCACCAGGGGAAGAGCACACCTCAGCCTATCTGTCCTAAACCGAGTGCAGTATTTTACAGGATCTCAAATAGCTATGTTAACCACACATGTCTTTCAAATGCTGCTAGAAAATATGAGCTCCATGTGGGCAGGTGTCTGTGTCCACCTGTTCACCGTTGAATCTGAACACCCTGAATGGTGCCTGGTTACAGAGGTCGGCAGGTACCCCCATACTTGTTTGGTGCACAATCGGATACAGTCTGTTCCCTAAGAGTTAGATATGATTAAAACCTATGCTTGATGCTCTGGCCATCAGCAGTGAAAGAAAGACAGGGTACTGTCTGTGGCCAGATGCAAGTCTGCTATTTATCAATGGTCTGTGTCCCTGCCCTTGAACCGGGGAACTGACAGGTCCTCCTCTCCATCTTCTGTGGTGCCCCAGCTATGCAGCTCCTCACACTGTTGCCACGTTCAGGAATGCTGCCTCACGGAAATTTTCTCCTTAGGATAGGGCATTCTCTTTTTATCAGTGGCTCACCAATTCAAAGGAAGCTTAAAGATCCTCTTCACACGACTGATGGATCAGCGAAGGAGGAAAGGATGTGGAAAAAAACAAGCATTCTTGAAATTCTAACGTGCTCGATCAGAATTATATGAGTACAAAACCCACCAAGTATCCTACAAGGCTTGTCTGTGCAACTCAGCAGAATCCAAAGTATTATGGAAAGCACTTGCCTCTCCTGGCCAGCGGTATCCCAGAGCTGCAGTACTGTTCGCTCTCCGTCTACAATGAGAGTTTTCATTTGAAAATCAACTCCTGAAAAGGAATATAAGAGAACATGGAGAACACGATGTAAATAATTCCATTGGTTTTTACTTTCAAGCCCTCTTTAGGATGAGACAAAAGCCAATAAGCCAAAGTTCGGCAAGACAGAGAGGAATGAACCTGGCCTTCAAGGACAGTGACCTTCCATACTAATTATAAGTCAGACCACACAAGTGCGTGCAGATGCTTATTGCAGGTTGGCTGACTTGGGGAAGGATTTAATCTATGGACAAAAGGAAAATCTATGTTTTATGTGTCCACATAATTAGATGGACTCAGTTATATCTGTGTGTGTGCATGCACATAAATGTGCCTATGTATATGTATATATACAGGTATATACATGTGTGTATGTATATATATATATAAGTACATGTATACGATGTATATATATGCCAGGCTCTCTAGGAACCGAACCAAATATTGTAGGCTTTTTATGAATCAAATTGAAGCGAACCTTCAGCTTTGTTATCTTGAAAGGTGTAACGGAGAACCATAAATTTAGAAAGACATCCATTGTGAAGAAGGTAATCTGTTCTAAGGTTTCTGGTTATCAAAATAAGAACTCTTTAGATAAGGAAGAAAAGTAAATGATAATTTGCATATCTTCTTTCAATTCCTTTTACTGATTACTGTGCAAATTTGGGAAATGAGGACACTATTTCTTCCTTGTTCTGAGAGGTATTACTCATGTATTCCGTTGTGAAGGAGGGGAGGGAACATACACCTGGCTATGATTTTGACCTTAATGACAAACTGCCTATCGGTAAGCTCACTTTATCAACATCAAATGACACCTGATCAGAAAGGCTTTCCCTGGGCACCCTGTGTAAAAGTGCACCTCTCCCAAATCTCATGTTTTAAAATGTGTTTTTCATCCAGGGATTTAGTCGACTTTGTTTACTGTGTATCCATAGTGCCTATAACAGAATGTGGCTCACAGCAGGACTCAGGATATGCTTGCTGAATAAATGAATCTGTCATCTCTGGCTCTAAACTTTGGTTGATCTCACTGGGTAAGCAGACACCTCAGTCCTTTGCTAGTCTTCCTCTCCCAAATTTAGGCCTTAGCCAAAACAGAGGGCTATTCTATAGAGAAGGACACGTGTGTATGCAAGTGCGTGTGCACACACACACACACCTCTACCTATATACATATTATACAGAGAGAGAGAAACAGAGAGATCTGTGTGTCTGTATATAATCCCTAACAAAAATAGAAATCAACCTAAAGAAGGTCATTTTCCCATTATCCACTGAAAAAGGAACTGTACCCAGGGTGGCACTTGTGTTTCCTCGAAATTCATTCTTGCAAAGTCTCATGAGCAAACTTGACTTTCCTACTGCAGCGTCCCCAGCCAGCACAATCTTGTAAGCCTTCTGTGAGCTGGAAGAGTTATGGTTATCATCCACCATGTCTGTCTAGGGGAAGGAAGCCACAGTGAGTGACAAAGGTAGTGCCAGCTTTCTTCCTAGTAAGTTACATGGCATGAAGATGAACAGTGTTCATGAATAAAAGTGTCTCTGAAACCGCCTACCTGTGGTGCAAGTGCTGAGATGGGCTTCCTCAAGGAGCTGATGACACTGCCTTCACTAGCAGACTCCTGCGGCTTCCAGTCCAGGATGGAAGCCACGCCTTCTGAGCCATACGTCTCTTCATCCCTGATATCAGGAACCTGTTTTTTTTTTTTTTTTAAAAGTCAGCCGTTAAAAACCAAAGTCTTTCATTACACATATACATCATGAAATAAAAAGAAGAAAAATATGCTGCTGGATCAACAGTCAATGCTATTATGGAACAGAGTGGCTGCAAAACGGAATCTGTGAGAGTTTTCCCTAACTTGATAGGGAGAAACATTTTCCCAACTATGTTTCACATGTATAACCTTTCAAACAATGCCCATGACAGATAAAGGTCAAACGGGGTGAGATACGTATTTCTATGGAAGATCAGGCCTAGGAGAGAAATGACTTTGGGGCTTACGTCTGTGTCTGAAGCATCACCCCCAGAGCTCTCCTGTGTGCCGTGTGACCTCTGGAATCCCCTCTGGTGCTTGTACTCCACCTCCGAGTCATACTCATTGAAATCTCTCAGGGTAGACAAGCCGCTGTCGAAGCAGCTCTCAGGCAGGCTGTCAATGTCACAGTTTATCCTCTGCATGGGATCACAGAGGGCCAGAGAGTCACAGTCCTCATCCATGTAGGAAGAGCGGGATGACCTGGTGACAAAGGAGAGGACTGCTGTACCTGAGGGCCGGCGATGCTCAAGATGACACAGCAATGGAATCAGACAGCAACAGAATCAAGAAGACCGATATTCTCATTCTTGCCAAGAGCCTCAGTGTATTCCATGATTAAGCAACAGGGGAAATAAAATGCTCAGAGCAATAGTTCATTCTATGCAACAATCAATTAAGATAAAGACACTTAAATCAAACATTTAATAAAGGAAGCTATTTTTAAAAAATCACCTTTATTTCCTGATACAAAAAGAATCAGAATGCCCAGGATGTAAATGTAATCTCAAGTTGTGTTAAGAAAAATGTACACAGAACATCTGAACCTTTTTATTCTAATGTGGTCAGACCATATTTTGAACAGCATGTCCATTTCTGGATAATACCTCTATTATGACCTGAGACTTTAAACCCTCCAGTCTGAGAAATGTTTCAGTGCACTCGGCTTAAGTTGTAATGGTTTCTCTCCTCAAATATTTGAAGAGCTGACACAGGAAGACTATATTCTCTCAGGGCCAACTGATAAAACTTTTCTGGGAATCACGTCTATAATCGACATGGTGAAAAATGCCAGGCAGTCAGAAATGTGTGGCCCTGGAATGGTCTGGCATACAAGATGAATTTTCTGCCACTAAGTGTGGACATGTCTGGAAAGACTCCTATGGGAGAGGTTTCATAGGGAGATGCCCCATACAAAGGCTAGAACTCCTGACTTCTGTGGATCTTTCCACTTGGGAAACTCCAGCATTTTATAAATGTTAATTACCTCATTTACTTTTGCTTTTCCATTTGATTCCCATAAGTATCTAAGTTTATACTGAAATAAAACAAGGGTTACAACTTACTTAGTTCCTACTACACATTGGGCACCATCCTAGCCACTTGGCCTACATCATGTCATCAGAAAGAGGAAATGGGCAGGGTATATCGGTCTCCAGATATGAGAAATAATAGGAGATGAATGTTCTTAGAAAAGAGAGGGTAATCTTTTTTTTTTTTTTTTAGTGGTACACGGGCCTCTCACTGTTGTGGTCTCTCCCGTTGTGGAGCACAGGCTCCAGACGCGCAGGCTCAGCAGCCATGGCTCACGGGCCCAGCCGCTCCGCGGCCTGTGGGATCTTCCCGGACCGGGGCACGAACCCGTGTCCCCTGCATCGGCAGGCGGACTCTCAACCACTGCGCCACCAGGGAAGCCCTAACCTATTCATATTTTTGATAAGGAATGAAAGAGAAAAACATCCTGATTGAAAAATCACCTCCATGAAAATATAGATCTAAATAAAAAATATAGGTATAGATCAGACTTTCTCAAACTCAACTTATATACATACCCTTTTAAAAGTAAACTATTCTTATCTGCCTGAAGAATATTTTAATTACAATTAAATATGTAAAAATACAGAAGTTATATTTTTGTTAGAGTTCTTAGAAAAAACTCAAAACTAAAACAAATATACAACTTAAAATCCAACAAGTCCACAAAAGCAATAAAATTAAATTTACAAGATGCTTTTAATTAAAAAAATTTTAACTGAAGTATAGTTGATGTACACTATTATATAAATTATAGGTATACAATATAGTGATTCACAATTTTTAAAGGTTATACTCCATTTACAGTTATTAAAAAATATTGGTTATATTCCCCACATTGTACAATATATCCTTGTAGCTTATTTTATACCTAATAGTTTGTACCTCTTACTGCCCTACCCTTATATTGCCCCTTCCTCCCTCCCCACTAGTAACTACTAGTTTGTTCTCTGTATCTGTGAGTCTGCTTCTTTTTTGCTATGTTCACTAGTTTGTTGTATTTTTTAGAGTCCACATATAAGAGATATCATACAGTATTTGTCTTTCTCTGTCTCACTTATTTCATTTAGCATAACGCCCTCCAAGTCCATCCATGTTGCTGCAAATGGCAAAATTTCATTATTTTTTATGGCTGAGTTGTATTTCATTGTATATATATACTACATCTTCTTTATCCATTCATCTGTTGATGGACACTTAGGTTGCTTCCATATCTTGGCTATTGTAATGCTGCTATGAACACTGGGCTGCATGCATCTTTTAGAATTAGTGTTTTTGTTTTTTTCAGATATATATCCAGAAAGTGGAATTGCTGGGTCATATGGTAATTCCATTTTTAGTTTTTTGAGAAAACTTCATACTGTTTTCCACAGTGGCTGCACCAATTTACATTCCCACTAACAGTGTATGAGGGTTCCCTTTTTTCCACATCCTCGCCAACATTCGTTATTTGTGTTCTTTTTGATGATATCATCTTTTTGATGATAGCACCTGACAGGTGTGAGGTGATATCTTACTGTGGTTTTGATTGGCATTTCCCTGATGATTAGCGATGTTGAGCATCTTCTCAAGTGCCTGTTGGCCATCAGCAACCTCTTTAGAGAAATGTGTATTCAGTTCTTCTGCCCATTTTTTAATTCGGCTGTTTGTTTTTTTGATGTTTGGTTATATAAGCTGTTTATATATGTTGGATATTAACCCCTTGTTGGTCATACATTTCCAAATATTTTCTGCCATTCAGTGGGTTGTCTTTTTGATCTGTTGAGAATTTCCTTTGCTGTGCAAAAGCTCATAAGTTTAATTAGGTCCATTTGTTAATTTTTGCTTTTATTTCCTTTGTTTTAGGAGATGGAGCCAAAGAATATTCCTATGATTTATATTAAAGAGTGTTCTGCCTACATTTTCCTCTACGTGTTTTATGGTATCTGATCTTACACTTAGATTTTTAATCCATTTTGAGTTTATTTTTGCATACATTGTTAGAGAATGTTCTAATTTCATTCTTTTACATGTAGCTGTCTAGTTTTCCCAGGACTGGCTACTGAAGAGACTGTCTTTTCTCCATTGTATATTCTTGCCTCCTTGTAATAGATTTATTGACCATAAGTGTGTGGGTTTACTTCTGGACTCTCTATCCTGTTCCAATTATCTATGTGTCTGTTTTTGTGTCAGCACCACACTATTTTGATGACTGTAGCTTTGTAACATAGTCTGAAGTCAGGGAGCATGATTCCTCCAGCTCTGTTCTTCTTTCTCAACATGATTTTGGCTATTCAGGGTCCTTTGTGTTTCCATACAAATGTTAAAATTATTTGTTCTAGAAAAATGCCTTTGGTATTTTGTTAGTGATTACATTGTTAGGGATTACATTGACTCTGTAGATTGCCTTGGGCAGTATGGTCATTTTAACAATATGATTCTTCCAATCCAAGAACATAGTATATCTTTCCATATGTTTGTGCCATATTCAGTTTCTTTCTTCAGTGTCTTATAGTTTTCCAAGAACAGGTCTTTTACCTTCTTAGGTAGGTTTATTCCTAGGTATTTTATTCTTTTTGATGAGGTGGTAAATGGGACTGTTTCCTTAATTTCTCTTGCTGGTAGTTCACTCTTAGTGTATAAAAATGCAACAGATTTCTGTATATTAATCTTGTATCCTGCAACTTTACCAAATTCATTGATGAGCTCTAGTAGTCTTCTGGTGGCATCTTTAGGATTTTCTATGTATAGTATCATGCCATCTGCAAATAGTGACAGTTTCACTTCTTCCTTTCCAATTTTGATTCTTTCTGTTTCTTTCTCTTCTCTGATTGCTGTGGCTAGGACTTCCAAAACTATGCTGAATAAAAGTGGCAAGAGTGGGCATCCTTGTCTCGTTCCTGATCTTAGAGGAAATGCTTTCAGTTTTTCACCTTTGAGTAAATGATGTTAGCTGTGGGTTTGTCATATATGGCCTTTATTTGTTGAGGTATGTTCCCTCTATGCCCACTTTCTGGAGAGTTTTTTAAATCATTAGTGGATGTTGAATTTTGTCAAAAGCTTTTTCTGCATCTACTGAGCTGATCATATGGTTTTTATTCTTCAGTTTGTTAATGTGGTGCATCACATTGATATTGAAAAATCCTTGCATCCCTGGGATAAATTCCACTTAATCATGATGTATGATCCTTTTAATGTATTGTTGGATTTGGTTTGCTAATATTTTGTTGAGGATTTTTGCATCTATATTCATAAGTGATACATAGGTTTTTTAAGGAACCTATGGGGGTTCCTTAAAAAACTAAAAATAGAATTACCATATGATCCAGCAATCCCACTACTGGGCATATACCCAGAGAAAACCATAATTCAAAAAGACACATGCACCCCAATGTTCATTGCAGCACTATTTACAACAGCCAGGTCATGGAGGCAACTTAAATGCCCATCGACAGACGAATGGATAAAGAAGTTGTGGTACATATATACAATGGAATATTACTCAGCCATAAAAAGGAACGAAATTGAGTCATTTGTTGAGATGTGGATGGATCTAAAGACTGTCATACAGAGTGAAGTAAGTCAGAAAGAGAAAAACAAATATTGTATATTAACGCATGTATGTGGAACTTAGAAAAATGGTACAGATGAACCGGTTTGCAGGGCAGAAGTTGAGACACAGATGTAGAGAACAAACGTATGGACACCATGGGGGGAAAACCGCGGTGGGGTGGGGATGGTGGTGTGCTGAATTGGGCGATTGGGATTGACATGTATACACTGATGTGTATAAAATTGATGACTAATAAGAACCTGCAGTATAAAAAACCAAAAAAACAACTAATGCTAAACTCTCTTTGGGTTATTTGTATGGAAATATGTTAATATAAATGTTTCAGACATTACATGAAATTTCTAAAACTCTTATACGTTCTGGTATAATGTTATAAGTCATAATTCTAGTTATTACCTTAAAATGTATATCTCAGAAATAACTAAATTTCCTTGTCAATTGCATTATTATGAACTTTCATCAAATCTTTAACCGTGGTAATTTTTAAGTCTTTTTGTCATTTACAGACAGTTCTGGGTGTACCCTGATGCTTTGGCAAAAATGTTCCTATAGAAGGGTTTCATCTTCAAGAAATTCATGGAAAAGACTCTGACAAGTACAGGTTTCTGGTAACTGACTATACTGCTGAACTGAATGAAGAAGCATTTTCAGAACTCTAATGGAAAACTGATGAATTCATAAAAGTGCTAACAAAAGATCAAGATGAAAAAAATTAATTACATGGGACTGAGTGAACTGATGAGGATGATTATAATTTTTGTGACTTTCTGGTTGAATAAAAAAAAATCCCACAAGGTCCCAGAGGCAAAAAATATACAAATCAATTTTCATTGCAAAGTAAAGGAGCTGTTACAGTGGAGGATTACTGGACTGAATGTCAATATTATGACATAGTATGAGTGTGTTTCATAAGTGCAATCATTGTTGCTTTTGTTGTGGTCATCCATGTACAATGCCTGGGGTCAGTTTATTTATCTGTTGTAAAAATAAAATACAGTGTGTGTGTGTGGGAAAAAAAAGAAAAAAGAAAAATGTTCTGGAGGTGGGTGGTGGTGACAGTTGCAAAACAATGTGAATGTACTTAATGCCACTGAACTGTACACTTAAATATAGTGAAGATGGTAAGTTTTACGTTATGTATATTTTATCACAATTTTTAAAAATAAAGAATAATACCTTTTTAAACTTAAAAAAAAGTAATATCTATTTCTCAAAAACAGAGAAGCCAGTTTCCTACAAATAGATAAACCATTCAAATTTTTTATTAAACAAATCAGTGAATAATAAAAACATCTGATACTTGGATAGAATTTTATTAAAAGTGATTACCAGTAAGCCTTGGAAACAGACCGTCCTGAAAGGGGATATGGCCATTTTGCTAATGCCAAGATACTAAGTACATTATTCTTTAGACCAAAAGTCCTCAAATGAAAAGGGAAGGAACATAAATTATGAAAGTGGCATCAGAAATGGAGAGCCAGAGACCTGCAGTTTATGCACTCACGTCTACCATCAAACTTTGACATACTCCAAGTTAGCCTATTAAGTAGCAACACTGGACATGTATATGTATACACATGTGTACACAAATGTAATCTTTCAGTTTTTACTGCTAGATCTCAAGTTATAGCAGGGCTAATATTTCACTTCATTTGATTAAAAATAGAGCTAAATCCTCACTTCTGGGAAGCCTCTGTGACTCCTTTAATACATTAGCGCATAAACATCTACTTGCCACATTTGTTTGTTTTGAAAGTTTGCCTTTCCTTGAACATAGCTTGCATAATATTATACTGAGCTATTAAACATTTACAGATTGTGCCAAGAGTCTCAACATCATATACTGCGTATATCACAACATCACATATGGTAGTCCCACTGGCTTCCCTGAAACACCTCTTACTGAGGGCACTTCTAAGAAACAAGACTTAATAGGCATGAGGTAAGGGTAAGCATACATAAAACCAAGTCACGATAACATCTTAAAGGAATCACTTTACTCTCTCTAAAACATTTTTACTTTAATCTTTACATGTTTCATGTTTCATAAATTTAAAGTAAGATAGTAGAAAACAGATGTTAGTGCCCCAAATATATTCTGTTATTGTAATTTACCTGTAAGGAAATGTACTTTCCTTTTAACTCTGTTCCAGAATTTAAACAAAAAGTAAGTAGGTGTTAACATACCTGTCATAGCCCAGAGGTTGAGGAGAATGAGCATTAAATTTAGGACTGCTTCTGGAAATTGTATTCCCTGGTGATATATTATTTATGCGCTGTAATACATAAAATACATACGTAATATTTTGTTATTACATGTAAAAATTCTGTGTACATTTTTAAAAACTGTAGCACACTAGTTTACTAATGTAATTAAAAGTTTGGTATCCTACATGAGAAAACAAAAGCACAGAAATCAAGGGAAAAACTGCAACAACTTCCCATAGTACTCTCTCCTCATCATGTCTTAAGTCCAAACCCTACCATATAAGCCATAAAGGGGAATCTTGGTTCCCCAGATTTGCCAGGACCTGCAATACCGACTGAGGATTTATCTCTTCTCAAACCATCGTTTGGCTTAGTAGCTGACTCATCCATACCCAAAGCTGTGGCACTGGAACCCCAACCTTGAAGCTGACCCCCAAAAGTGGGGGAAGAGGCTTTCTGGCACATGTAGTCTAGGGAAAGGTCCTCAAAATTCCAAACGGGCCTTAGCTTGTTTCTGTAGGAGGGTTTAAAGCCCAAGGCCTCCACTCTGATGATCTCACTACCAGAAAGAACAAACCAGTGGGTCTAAATAAACTCCTCAGCCAGAAGCACCCTCCCTTTCCTCTCAACTGGGCAATATATATTTTAACCTCCATGAGACATCTATCTCACTTTTTCTTCTATTATTGCTATCTGTGCACATCTTAACTCCCTACTATACTATAAATTCTTCCAGGACCCAGGTCACACCTTATACATCTTTCTCTGGTTTTCTGGAACATTGAACAAAGAGTTGGCTGACACCTAGACATTTATTTATGCAGAGGAGTGGCATATTTTTCAAGTTGGGAAAATGTCTCCTTTTATTATATTAAATAGTTTCTCATTATTATAAGTTCTCTTCTGAGAAAATATATGATTTTTATCAAAATACCACGAGAAAGAATGAAATGAATTATAAAATTCTATCACATACCAAGGATCTGTTGAACTTGCTGTAACTGTTTTCAAGGGCACTCCTTAGGCCATCGTTACTGTCATGCAGTTTCCTGTTAGCTGTTCTACAAAGTAAATAAATAGATAAGGAAAGTATCAGTGGGGGTGAAAGTCACCACTTCTTTTCAGGCTGTGATATTCAGAACGTGGCATTACCACCGCTTGTATCTTTCTACCACTTCCCTTCCAACCTCATAAACTGAGATCATAATTCACTACTAGAAGTGCAACTTAACAATGTGTCACCTCTCTTTAAAGGTCTCAAGGCATTTTAGGAGTGAGTCAGCTATGCTGTGGAACCCACTGCTCCTTCAGGTAGCTCCATTGTTTGGATAGGTTTGGTGCAGGTCTGTGTTCCCTAAAGGCCTGAAGCCAGCCGGCCCCACCTACTCTCTATCCCCGCTGCACGGATGTGCTGTGTCACACTTCTTTCTCCTGGCTACTCCTGCATCCTTCTTGTGGCATGGTGCTGTACCACCAGGCACTGTTTTATACCAGTTAAAGGCTCCAATGTTGATTCAGGTTCAAATCCCAACTCAGGCACTTACTTTCTATATGCCTTACAGCAGCCATTTAAGCTATCAGAGACTGAGCAACCTCTTCTATCAAATGAAGTCTCTGCCGTAGAGACTGGCTACTATCTCCCTGCTTCAGGCTTATTCGTCCTTCAGAAGTCAGACGCTTCCTAGACCTTTCTGGTTAGGAGGATGCCCTTACGAGACACTCAGCTCCCCTTGGCCCCTGCCGCTCCTTTGGCATCTAACATCTGTAAGTATTGATCAGGTTCCATCCTCTTCCCCTGGACTAGCCCCATAAGGAGAGAGGCCTTTTTCTCCTACTTGCTACTGTATCCTCAGCTCCTGGCATACCTGAACCATAAAAGGTGCTGAGTGAAAACCTGCTGAATGAATGAATAAATGAATTAACAGGATTCTTGTCATATATCAACTCTATCATTGTCACAGGTGAGATGTAATAAGCATTCATAATGATGGAAAAAAATTGTCAAATCTGACCTGGCATCATTTGGGGGAACTAAAACCAGAAGAAAATACTGCCTAGGTGAAAAAGAGAGAAAGGGGCAGTGGGAAAGGGGGAGGTTTTGTGGGGAAGGTCTCAGAGGATGGAATTCCTAAAACTTAGCTGCAAATTTGACAGAGCAGGTGTAATATTTCCAAGAGGTTAAAAAAAAAAGAAAAGAAAAATATACTGCTAACCAGACACAATAAATTGCCAAAGAATGATCGTGTATGCCTAGTGATGTGACATGCACTATGTGAGACGCCTGAAACCTCTCAGCGTGCTGAGCTGCAGAGAAAGCTGATGAGGTCAGGGCCACTGTCCTTTACAGTAAAATAAAGGTATCATAAAGACGTGCCAGACATATCACCTGACTTGCGAGCACTTTTAGAGAATTATACTCTAGTCCCTGGATTTGAATAGTTTATGTAGGATTAGAAGCATCAGAAAGCCAAGCTGACGTGCTGAACACACCGTGTCGAGAAGGGACACGTGTGGAGCCGCGAACCCAGCCTTTGATATATGGCAACTCGTGTTACATGTGGCACCTGTTTTACTAACAAAACATAAGTTAAATGTAAATGTGATGAGGACTTTATATGAGAACTTACTGGAGTATTTCAATTTGCCTCTCAAGACTATTTCGATCTTCTGTGTACTCTCGGATTATTTCCAGATCCCTGTAAAATTATATTTTATGTTTGAATGCGGATTAGGTGTTCAGTCCTGCCTTACCGACACCTACCCTCCCAGACCTCTTTCCGCCTTTTCCAAAGGCCTGTGTCCTTGACCGTGGTCTTCCATCTCTCTGTGCTGCTGCCCGGTTCCTCTGAGACATCAGCAGCCTCCTCTCCTCCTGTGACCCACAAGCACACCCACGCCTCTGCTTCCTCTCGCAAGGCTCTGCTCCCCCCATCCCCCTCCCCGCACCCACCAGCTCCTCCACCCCAGCCCACTGACCTGGTTCTGTTCTTCACTGGGACTGAACCCCCTGATGTTCTGCTGAGTCCCCTCTCCCCAGCTACTCACATTACCAGTCCCTTCCGCCCAATCCATTCTCTCACCTCTGACTCTTCTCTGCTCATTCCAAGCCATATGCAACTTCAGCCCCAGCTGTACTCTCCCTTCTTGTGATTCCTTCTCGTCTCTGTGCTCCCAGCCCTGCCTGCGCTCCCCGCCTTACCCTAAGCCACAGTGGAACCCACAGGACCAGGCTTTCTCTGTTCACTGTAAACTCACGCTCAGCGATTCCTCTGTTGCTTTATTGTGAAGAAGCCCTGGCCGCCTCCTCAAAATGTCCACTCAGAACATCAGCCACTTACCTCCAGCCCCTACCTCACACCTGCCCCATTTCTAAGCAGATAAAACCCCATCACTAGCTTCCAAAAACCCTCAGGCTGTCAAATTTTGTCTGTAATAAGCTATCCATTTGCTCTCTTGATAAGGCTAAAAGGTTCCCAATTGTCTGTAGGAATTTAAGTTCCTTAGCCAAAAATTCTGGGGCCTTACATTATAGCCTTAAACTAGCTTTTAAACTTTTTAATCTTTTTTAAACATTTGCCTTTCCATTCCAAATATCTTTTTCTGTCCACCAGGCTGACCACTGTTCCCCAAACCAGTCTTATCCTTCCCCATGTCCTTGCCCCTGCTTTGGGTTCTGCCTCACCTGGAACATCTCTGAGACTCTTCTCCCATCTGTAAAATGGGGATAAGGAAAGTCCCTATCTCATAGGAAACCATGAATGCGTTAATGCTAGTCAAGTACTAAAGACAGTGCCGGGCAATTGTCAGTGTGACCTGTGTTGCTTGCTGACAAACTCATCTCAAGTATCTCTTCTTTAATAAAGTCTCCACCTTTCTGAACTAAAGGAACACTCTGTCTACCATCTCATGGCAATGGACCCAACCTGTGACACTGCAGTGGTATTGTTTCTGACATGGCTGAGTTCTTATGCTGTTTAACTCCATAACGCTTTTAACTTTTAATTTTTCCCAACTAAATTTGAAGTTCTCAAAGAGCAGAGGCCACGTCTTTTCTTTTTTTATATATTCCACACTCATAACTCCTTATCTAGCTCAGGGACCTGTATATAGTAAGTCCTTAATAAATGTTTCACTGCTTTCCATTACAGGACCTTAATTCTGATTAAAGTCTGCAAACCAACAAAGAAAACACAAGGTGTTTTTCTCAAGTATACATGTACTAGGGGATACACACATATACTAATGCATACAGATGCATTTTCTATTTAAATACCCTTATATAAATATACATGTGTATCTTCCTTATATATAATTACATGCCTCTGTGGGTACATGTGTGTTAGGTCATATGTTATTAACACCATATTGCAAAACTAAAGCACAGCAAAATACAATGACTTGCCTAAGATGTCTCATTTTCCATTTTTTTATGTTGTAGGGCCAGGATTCCTACCTTCAAAGCCTCTTGACACTTTAGGTATATTCTTCTGCTGCCAGTTAATTCAAACATTACTAAGCCCTGCACTTTCCTGAGCAGCCAATAATTTAAAAAATTGAAAACACAAAAATCACTAGGAAATCTGACACCTAAAGTAAAATCTTTAGAAAGCAAAGAACACATTAGTAAAGTTAATAAATAACCCTTTATTATTACATAGCTGAGCTTCATTGACATGGATGGTTACCTAAATAAACATTCCACTCAAACTGGAAAGTAAAACGTGAAGTTTCATACCTTTCAGAATTCAGACTCTGATCAGCATAATCACTTTTCAAAGAATCTAATTCACTCTGAAGAAAGGCTATGTTTGTCTGTGCTTCTAAAAGATCTTTCTTAACTTTCTGATTTTCCTAGAGGAAAGGCACAGTGCAGGTCATTAGACTCAGAGTTTCTACCCGGGAGAAGTGAAGTCAAGTGTAGTGTAACCTTCCCACACATCACTCTCACCCCTCCACAAGTCTTCAAGTCTTGGTGTTCAAAGAACTAATTATCAATTCAAGGTAATTTGATATTTTCATAAAGTATTAAAGAGTCGAAAATTAAATCCTCAAAGCTCTTTTTTAAAAATACTTGACATTTGGTGTGAAACTACAACAGTCAAGAGTTTATCATGACGTACTTTAACATGTTATTGGCAAATTAACGGAGACCAAACATTTAAACATCTGTTTTACTTAATGAGAGCTGTGGAACTACTGATATATATTCTGTGGAATTAACAATACCTGTTACCAGGTAGACTGGCTACTTTTCACAATAAATCCTATCACCTAACATTTTTAATTTTGCACTTGAAAATAAGCCAGTATGGTTAGGAGATTTCTATATTTTTCTTAAAAACAAAAAAACAAACACACACACAAAAAAAAAAAGAGAAAGAAGAAAAAAAATCATTGGAGGCTTGCAGTTCAATATGGTGGACTGGGCACATGAATTTGTCTTCTTTCCCTTTTGAGACCCCATTAACATGAAATACCAAAGGAAATAAACCAATAAAAATTAGAAGAATGGAAGAGGGGCCCATCAGCAGTCAAGTGATTTAAACATATTGCTGGAAAAAGGAAACCGGATGGCAATGTGCTGACAAAGGGAAGAGAGTAGGGGAAAAGGAGGTCCAGCAGATGTGTGTTGAAGGTTCTGCTGTAGAACAAAGAAGAGACACTGGTCAGGCAGAACCCCAGAGAGTGAGAAAGGGGGTCTGGAAATAGAGATTAAAACTGTACATGCTGGCTCTCAAGCCTTTACCTGCTCTTACCCTCGGAAAGAAGAGCAGACAAGCCAGAGTTGATTCTAAAGGCAACAAGACGGGGCTCTTCTTTTTAAAAATAACTGAATGATTCCCAAAAGGAAAGCTAAGGCTTCTCTCTGAACATCCAGGCCCCATGCATCTGGTAATTGGGTTCCTATGTCTGACAGCCAGCTTCACACACAGAGCTCTGAGGAAGGCCATCTTTCAGGGGAGAGGCCTTGAGCTAAACAGATGTTTGCCTAGCTGTGCAGGAATCCTACCACAGCTACCTAAAATGATCAGAAATTCCAAGATGACATCTGGGTAGCAAGTTTAAAAAGCAGCCAGTCCAGTAAGAATTGAAATTTCCGGGTCCAATAAGAATTGAAATTTCCAATAAGAATTGAAATTTCCAATAAGAATTGAAATTTCCGGGACTCCAAAATTAATATTTTCAAGGAGAAAAAAACAAATTCCATGTACTGGAAAGAATAAATAAGAAGTTGCAAGGTAGAGGTAATATCGTGAAGATGGCAGGCTCTTTTTACAAGAAACCAAAAACTCCACCAGAGAATCCAAGAGAAGTAAGCAACTCTACGAGAACATTGTGATCCAAGCACAAAACCAACTAGGAGGTAGCAAAATCTGAAACTGGTAATGCATAAAGGGGATTTATCTGACCACAAAGCTGGGGGACCTTCTCTTTTGAGTGGCACAGGGATAATGACTGGAGAGAAAGAACTGCAATTTTAGCTCACTTCTTGGCTCTGCAGGGAGAATATTTAGAGTCACGATAAAAGACATGTTCATTATTGGTTTTCAACTTTTAGAGTCAACCTGAAAACAAAATAAAGAAAATGACGATAATCTAACGATGTCGATGTTATCATTTATGGCAACAGAAATACTAAAGATAGGGTCAGCAGAAGATGGAAAAGGGACAGAGAGAAAACTTGGAGGAAGGGCAGGGCAATAATACCTCATCTTACAAAGTCAGGGAAACAGATAAAAGTTGATGTTATAAGAATGCAGGGGTTAACTATTTGAAATTTAAAGGCCATGCCATTATTGCTTTGAATAAAAAAAAAAGCATTTACAATAGGTATCACTGAGGGAAAAAGCCTGCATAAATATAATACCTTTAGTCAGAGGTATTTCAAAGACTTTCTCTAACTGTAGTATTAATTTCTCTTTAAGCTTTTATTCCTGGAATATTGAAATCATAGCATGATTTTATTTAGGAAACAGTAGTCTAACAGGAAATATATTACTGTAAGTGAAAAGTTAATTCTTACCATTGATAAGTCATAAATTTGTTTTTTTAATGCAGCTACATCTTCCTTTTGACTTATGTGTTTTGATTGTTCTTCTAGCTGAAAAAGCAAATAAAAGTTGGGCGTTTACAAACTCACTTTGAATTGATTTGGTTAAGTTTAGGAATATATGTGCATGTAGATTTGGGAATTCTAGAAGTCTCCAATTTTCAACATTATACAACCTTATAAATCATTAAACTACATATAATCCAGTAGGATTTGAAAATTTGCTTTAAATAATTTAAACATTTAAAGGGTTTTCTTATTTCATGAATTTTCTTTTTTTTGCCAAGGTACATTTTTTTTCTTTTTTTTTAAAATTGAAATATAGTTGATTTACAGTGTGTTAGTTTCAGGTGTAAAGTACATATTATACATATGTACTTATGTACAATTACACACATATATATACATTCTTTTTTTACATTCTCTTCCATTATAGGTTATTATAAGATACTGAGTATAGTTTCCTGTGCTATACAGTAGGTCCGTGTTGGTTATCTATTTTATATATAGTAGGTTATCTATTTTATATATAGTAGTCTATTTTATATATATAGTAGTGTGTATATTTTTCTTTGAAACAATTGAAAAGCCGTTTTGGGGAAACCAACTATCAAGCAACTCAGTCCTCTCTTTTTCAGTTATGTTGCGTATCAGTCTGGACCTTTATATTCTCTTAAACTTTATCTGCATTTAACACTTGCTATTCTATATCATAATTACTTATGAGTGTTTTAACTCTCTTACTAGAGTCCAAGATTTTTAAGAGCAGAATTGGTGTCAAAAGTCAACTATGTTTTCTTCATGGTGATGTCAAAAAATGCTTATTTAATGATTTAAGTCAATAAAATTTAAGTATGGTATGAAGTTAGAGACACACACACAAAATTATATAAATACACAAATGAGCTTTACTTCCTGGTTGATTACTGAGCATTACCAGACTAAATTGGCTCAGAAGCATCCCTAACATGGACAACAAAAATGTCTTTCTTACACATAGCTTACATCCCTTGGGAAATGTGAGGATTTGTGGGTGTCCATTAATAGAATATGCATGCATTGATCAAAATGAATGCGATATTTCATCAAAATCTAAGTACTTTGATGATAGACTTTCTTCATCTTGCCAGGTGGCATCAGTGGAAGGTTTTCAAGTGGCTGAAGCCGAAAGAGCCACTGATTTTAAGATCATGCCAATTTCAGAGAAAAAAAATTGTGGGGAAAAAAATGAGTTTCTCAGAACCACTGGCATAAGGTAATGTCTGGTGATTATATTAAATCTGTAGACTTCTGTATATTCCTTTACAGCTTTTAACATGTTCTGCCATAAATTATCTCTTACTCTCTCGCAGAACAACCCTATCAGGCAGGCAGGAAGTCTGGTATAAGTGAGAAAGCACCAACTGTGTAAAGACAGAAAGACAACGCATTGCTTATTAGCTGAGTGACTTTGTGCAAGTTATTTAACCTGGAACTCAGTGTTCTCATCTGTAAAAGTGGGAAGTTTGCACTTTCCTCAGAGAAAGTTTAAGTATTTGATTTTTTTAAATTATGAAGAAGAGCTTAATAAGCTACAAAGTCAAGAAAATGTCAGTCACTGTGGTTAGACAGGATAGTTTATTATTAATCCCATCTTACAGATGAGAAGCTAACGATCAGAATGATGAAGCCGGACTTCCCTGGTGGTGCAGTGGTTAAGAGTCTGCCTGCCAAGGCAGGGGATACGAGTTCGATCCCTGCTCCAGGAGGATCCCACATGCCGCAGAGCAACCAAACCCATGAGCCACAACTACTGAGCCCGCGTGCCACAACTACTGAAGCCTGTGCACCTAGAGCCCATGTTCTGCAACGAGAAGCCACCGCAGTGAGAAGCCTGTGCACCGCAATGAAGAGCCCCCGCTCGCCACAACTAGAGAAAGCCCCCCGCGTGCAGCAACGAAGACCCAACGCAGCCAAAAATAAATAAATGAATAAATAACTAAATAAATTTATTTTTTTTAAAAAAAGAACGATGAAGCCAATTGTCCTGGGTGTTACAGAAGAAATTGGCACAGTCTTTTTTAAATTAAAATTTTTTTTTTTATTTTTGGCTGCGTTGGGTCTTTGTTGCTACCCATGGGCTTTCCCTCTAGTTGCGGCGAGCGGGGGCTACTCTTCGTTGCGGTGCGTGGGCTTCGCGGTGCGTGGGCTTCTCACTGCGGTGGCTCCTCTTGTTGCGGAGCACAGGCTCTAGGTGCGTGGGCTTCAGTAGTTGCAGCACGTGGGCTCAGTAGTTGCGGCTCGCTGGCTCTAGAGTGCAGGCTCAGTAGTTGTGGCGCATTGGTTTAGTTATTAGCTCTGCGGCATGTGGGATCTTCCCGGACCAGGGCTCAAACCCGTGTCCCCTGCCTTGTCAGGCGGACTCTTAACCACTGCACCACCAGGGGAGTCTGAAATTGGCACAGTCTTGATAAGGACTTGGGTCTCGTCATTCCTGACTCTTACTGTTCAGGGCCTATTTGGTCTTCATCATATACTATATGAAAAAACAACTCTGTGTCTCCTCTTGCAAACATTCTCTTAGTTTAAAGGTTTGGATGACACAGAAATAATTGAGGACAGTGACTAGCAGAATCTGTAACTCTAGCATTAAGCAAAGGATTGGTCCATTCAAATTCTGTAATACAAGAATAATATTATGGTCTAATGACCTTTGGAAATCAGATATAAGGTTGACGTTGATAATACTTTTCCAAGAAGGATACTGGGGAGAATTCTTAATAATTCCAGAGGTTTAAATTGCAGTAACCCACAAATGCAGTTAATTATCACTTAATCTCATTCAGTATAAACACTGGAAGGAGCATTAAAGGTTATCTCTGGTTATGAAAAACCAGAGAAGCAAAGTGATGTGCCTAAATTCACAATGCCACTTTCGGGGACGATTATTTTTTAAGTCCCCATTTTCATTTTAGCTAAGGTATTTCCATTAGTTATGGAGACCATCCACATGCAGGAAGTGAATCCAGTGTTATGCTGGAGCCAACGTGTACCAGCAGGCGAGAGCCTATTTATTTTAAGCATTTCTTCCCAAACTCTGCATTCAGTGATGTCAACTTGGTAGCTTGAAATCGGTAATGGTGGGAATATTTATACCATGAAGATCGGCAAATGCTACAAATGCCTCCTCCCTTCCTCCCCTTTCCAGAGCCTGTTGTAAAACATCTACCAGCATACCACTGAGTGAAATGGACCCTAATCATTAGAAACCAAATAGAGCAGAGGCCCAAACCAATCACACCTCTGCTTTCATGTCAACAGGTTCTCTCCCACTTCTTGCTGATCAGTGGTCCTCTAGATCTGGAACTTTCCACAGAGAAGAGAAGTATTCATTTCATTTAATAAATATTCACTGAATACATATACCTTGCAGTAAGCTGAGTGTAGGGCTACATGACCAGGAAAGACAGTGTCCCTGCTGTCGTGAGCAGACAGTCCACTGGACACGTGGGACTTGAAGGCACTTGGTAAAGACCAAGGAAAGAAAACTGAGGTTTGATGGACAACTGTTCAAGGGACCAGAAATATTTACTAGATCTATGCAGAAGATAGGCTGCCCTTAGAAATAGAAATTACAGGCCTTTAAAAAAAATTCATGCCAAGGAGTCCAATTTGATTCTGAAATCTGATCTATCCACTGCTTCAATATGATTCTGCATGTTTTTAGTTGCTAAAAATGTAGACACATTGAGATGCTGAAAGTATCCCTCAAAGCCCAGCTGCCACAAACCTACCTTTTTGAGTTTCTTTATTGTCACCTGTAGATCTCCCACTTCTGTTTCATACTGACGCCTGAGGTCACTGAGGGCTTCTTCAGCTTTGCGTTTTTCCTGAAAGAAAAAAAAAAATGATTTTGTTGATTTAAATAGGTTCTTCAAAATCCTGTAGGTGAGAAACATTTTGTGTCAAACTAAGGCTGACCCCAAGTCTCCTACACAGAGACAGTGAGAAGGTAAAGCAGAAGTAACCAAACTTTAGATGCCCAGCACTTCTGGAATGGAAACTTACAAGACTGGAAGAACTGCAGAATCCCACAACCTACATACACACGTAACCTGGGGTGACACCTCTAAGACCACTACTCAGCTGTGATAGAGGGCTGCAGCACATCAATTAACTAGCTAATTAAATACTGCTGTGTTTAATTTTAAGCTATGGCACAATCAAGGGCCCCAGTGCTTGCCTGAATCCTATCATGTCATCAGGACTCAGGAAGGCCTGATGGGTTTACTGTTTTTCCAAGAGTTTACACCTTATCTAAATTCAAACCACATCACCTGCAAATTTCTATGCAAAGTGCTGCCCCATAGGCGGGTACTTCTCATGTGTGTCACCCCTGGTACAGAGAATGGCAAAAGGGCACTCCAGGAGGTCAGGGGCTGCAGCTCCCATGAGCCCAAATATCTTTCAGTTTCCTTTTTCTCTTAACACATTATGGAATTTAATATCCTATGTTCTGTATTCAAATAAAGTTTTAAGTTTATAACCAGTGGAGTTGAGTGTAATAAGACCTAAATAAATGGAGAATATATCAGGTTTGTGGATTATTCATTATTAATAAGATGCCAAGTCTCCCCCAGTTGATCTACAGATGCAATGAAGTCCAGTCAAACCCCCAACAGGTTTTGGGTTTTTGTTGTTGTTTTTCAAAATTGACAAGCTGACAAGGAAATTGAGGACCTAAAATAGCCAATACAACTTTGAAAAAGAACAAAGCTGAAGAACTAATACTAGACTCATTATGGAACTAATTCAAGACATTATAAAGCAATAATCATCAAGACAATGTAATAACCAGCATAAAGATAGACAAATCAATCAATGGAACAGAATGGAGAGCCCAGAAATAAACCCAACACAAATACAGAAAACTGATTTTGGACAAAGTGCAAAGGCAATTCAGCAGAGAACAGATAGTATTTTCAACAAATGGGCTGGAACAATTAGATATGCATATGCAAAAAATATGAACTTTGATCCATACCTTACAAACTAGATCCTAAATGTGAAATCTAAAACAATAAAACTTATAGAAAAAACACAGGAGAAAATCTTTGCAACCTTGGGTTATGCGAAGATTTCTTAAATATCAAAAACACATCCGTCAAAGAAAAAACATATCCATGCTGCCCACGTCCACCACTACTTTAAATCTATGATGCATTGGACTTCATAAAAATAAAAAATTTCTACTCTTCAAAAGATACTGTTAGGAGAATGAAAAGATAAGTCAGGAAATATTTATAAATCAGAATATATAAAGGACTCCCCAAACTCAATAATAAGAAAACAAACAACCTAGTTTTAAAAGTGAGCAAAAGATTTTAATAGACGCTTCACCAAAGAAGACGTAAGACGGTTGCCTGACAAGGAGGGGCAAGGAAGGATGGCATGACACAGGGGCATGGAAACCAACAGTATGTGAACCTACCTTTATCTTGATTGTGGTGACGGTTTCTCGGTATATACACATATCCAATCTTACCATAGTCTACACTTTGAGTAGGTACAGTTTATTGCATGCCCATTATACCTCAATAAAACTGTTACAACATATTTTTAAAACCCTAACTGAAACAATGGGATAAACACTCTATGTGCAAGAGGAGTCAAGGTCAGGAAGAGGTGAACGTGGCTAGAGGACTAGGGGAGGGCACTGGGGAGAAGGGGAGACTTTCTCTGATCTTTGCAAAATTTAGGAAAGTGGAGAGGAGTTATCAAGGCAAAAAAACCCAGCTGGAGTGAAAGCAGAGCAATGAGCCAGGTCAGAGTTGCAGGGTGAAGAACTGTGTGTGGGGAGCCAAGGTAAGCCACGCTTAGTGGAGGTGAGTTAGGGAAAACCTTCAGTCAGCGTGGATGTGTTATTCCGGAGAGACTAGGAGACTGGGGCAGACTGGCAAATAGGTGTCATCCCAGGGCCAAAGCTGCTCCATTGGCAGCAGTGTGCTGAGGTTTCAGAGACCACATCTGTGCAGTGACTCACCAGCCACTTATGCCATCGCTGTGGAACAGAGAAAGATGCCATGTATTCACCACCCCTGTACCAGAGCCAAGGAAAATGAGGAAGATGGTATAATTAACAAAACATGAAGTGATAAGGGGTAGGGCCATGGTCAGGTATCCATCACCAACAACCAGTTTGGGAAGTGCTTAGCTGGAAGAGGCGGAGATTTGATGACCGAATAACGCATATGCTTGATAAGTGTGTGATGAATGAATGAATGCACAGATTAAATGGATGGAGAGGGAAAAAGGCAGAAAAAAATAGGATGTTACTGTTTCTAGACTAGAAGAAATAGAGCGCTAACAAAAGAATGGGATAATCATTGTAATAAAGCTGGACCATGGACTCTGAGCTATTCACTCTGTGAACATGACTTCCAAACAGTTATTAAATGTGTTATTAAGAGATAAGACAATCAAGAGACCCGAAGGCATACATGTGGTAAAGCAATTTAAGGTGAAGAATCTGAAAGGACACAAGGTACGCAGAGCACCGGAAAAGAGCAGAACTGCAATGGCCACGGTGCCCCTACCATACCTCAGGCACTGCGCTAGGCACGCATACAGATCACCAGGCTCGACCCTCCTTAAAGCAGGTAGGTGGCATTATCCCATCTAAAGTTGGAACAACAAAGGCTCAGAGGTTATGTTATTTTTCCAGTGCCACTTAACTGAGACGGGGCAGAGCCAGGAGGCAAACTAAGGTCTATTGGATGCCAACACCCAGGCCCTTCTCACTCAATTTTCTGCCTCTCAGAGTTAATGGGGAAAATGAATAGAAAAAAAGGGAATGTTCAACCTGAAGTTAGCTACTCAAAGAAATATGTCTATTTTCTGTTTTCAGTAAACATCAATCACCCAAATATATTTCATAAAGGAAAAAGATAATTATTTCTCCTATGGAAATCACTGAAGGTAGCACCCAACTTTCAACTATGAGAGTTCCTATATTGATGAGTAAAAGTATATCCCATTGTAAAACAACACCAAAATTAGCAGAGAGCATTTTACCTTCATTGTAATCTAGATTTAAAGTAGCGGTGGATGTGGGCAGCAAGTCAGTGGTATTAAGGGTGGAGCCACCATCCTTTACGAAGGCGGGCTCTGCCTTCTCCAGGCCTCAGCTCTCCTGTCCCCTCTTCACAGAGGCCCCTGACCTCCCAACCCGAAGCAGCCTGTCTATCACACATGCCATTTCTTTACTGTGCTTGTTGCCATCTGAAATTAGCCACTTTATTTGATTACTTTCTCTCTCTCTCTCTCTCTCCCTCCCCACCTCCCTCTCCCTCTCCCTCTCTCCTTACTCTACCCCCCACCCCCGCCCCGATAAAACCACCAGCACTAACAATGCCCTTGTTGAGAGCACCTGTGGCAGTCTGGACTTGCTGCACCCAGAGGATGCCCTGTGCCCTGTCCATAAAAGGTGTTCTGAGGATTCGTCGCATGAAGGGGCCATCCCACAAACTCACGTCTTTCCGTGTCTTGTGTTCTGCAGCCTGAATCCTCTGATCCATTTCCTCTTCCAATTCACTCAACTGCATGGCTGCCTTGTCCTGGGCTCTGAAATTTAAGAGGATGCACACCTTTTCATTATACTCTTGGCCTTGTAACATGAAGAGAAAACTCTGACCTCATCTATTTCAAGCTCTCTATTTTACAGATGAGGAGAAACATACCATTTAAAATAATATTCCCTGTTCCTTCCACATAATAAAATGATGTTGGCAATTCGATCAGTTGGGTGTAAAGGGACATTGAAACTAGATATTAAATAAATGGAATAGATTAAATGGTATTAAACTAGAGTGTAGCAAAGAACAGATAAAGATACCAAATCGCTGGGAGGCTCTCAATAAATTCTGAAAACCTTTTTTGCTGCGATGACTGAGCTACAATCCCAGACAAGAAAAGAACTCCATGGCAAAGAGATGGTTACATAAAATTTTGAAATTTTATCATATGAAAAACACAATGCTAAATGCTATAGTTAGAAGGGAAAGAAAGATCTCAAAAATTATTTCTGATTGGTTCCCTAAAGTTCTAGAATGTAGATATAGATGCCCTTTAGAAAATTCCTGTTTCTTTTATTAATACAATCAATAAATCATATTTCTCTGGAGGCAGAGAATACTGATCTGCCAAAAAGTCAGAAATGAGAAAATTTCGTTGCGAAGATACCCAGATAGTTTTAGTTAGCAGTTGTCTAGCATGGAGACACCTGTCACTTTACAATGATTGAAGCTTCAGAGTAAGCCCTAAAAAATTTATTTTTTGTTCTCTCTCAGCTCTGTGTCCAATTATCTAAATTTTCACATGTGTATGTCTTGCCTACTCAACTAGATTGGAAGTGACCTGAAAGCAGCCACCATGAGATTTAGAGTCAATGTACTTGGCCCAATGACATTGTGTTAATAAAAGTAGAAACAGGACCTCAGTAGAAGGCCTCTGTCTTCCAGTCTGATAGCTTCTGCTATACCATCCTACCTGCTTTCAACTTATTTACTCCCTCCCAACACAATTTGTTCATGCATTAATTTAATTTCTACATGAGCTTCCAAACAAGCATTGATGGGTGGAGGGAAGACCCGGAAATAAAATTCTGAGTGACTTATCACTATTTTCTGCTCCTGTTAACTTCCTCTTCACCTTACGGCCTGCCCGAGGTTATGTTAACCAAGTTTGGACAGTCAGCTAGTTCTGGTTTGTTTACAAACAGTTGATGTTTGAAATCTAGGCATTATGTATCTCCACAGCAACTTTCGGGGTTTTTTGGTCAACTCTGGGACTGGGAATAGCTAAGCCACACATCCATTTCTCCCTTGTTATGACTGTTTTTTTCCAGCCATTCCTTCTAGACATCCAGTCCCAAACATCTGGGCATCTGGGACACCTCCCCAATGTGTTCCTTCTGCCTTTTTCACTTCTGAACAACTCTTTTTTCTTTCTTTCTTATTTTTTGGGGGAGGGGGAGTAAATCAGGGTAGTCTATAATGACACACTGTTTGCCCCAGCAATTCCCAATTCCCAGTAAAGCATCTACCATGTTGGGAATGTCCACTTTAACCTTAGTCCAGGGCTCCTACCATGGATTGCTGGCTGACCCTACAAAGTACTGTCTGACTCAGCTTCCCTCATGCTGGCTTCGTTTAGAAAGCTCCAGATTCCTCAGGTTCGGGTCGACCCCCCATACCATATGATAATGCAGTTCCGTCTTTGTGCCACTTGGTCAGAGAGCCAGTTAAAGGACCCCTTCTGCCACTGAGACAGGAAAGACTACATACAATACCTCTTCACTGCAATGGCCAGGTTTTCCATTTCTGTGCTTTGAAGTTTGATCTCACGGATGAAGTTCTTTATAACATGTTCATATGGCTGAATTAGTCTTGGCTCCACGAGGTTGATGTTTTGATACAAGGTACTAACTTGCTCTTTTCTGCCAAAAGAATTAGATTAAAAATTAAATAAAACCGAGTAAAAAAAGTCAAAATTTCAGAATATTTTTTAGGAAAGAGACACATAAGAACCAAGGAAGAAAAATGTAACAATAGAATGACCAGAATGGAGGGAAGATAGCAGTCAGAGATGCTACTGCACTATTCTTCATATTATTATTATATTTTTAACAGTGGAACAGCAACTTCATTTTTTCCCCCAGCTTTACTGAGATATGACTGACAAATAAAAATTGTACATATTTAGGTTGTACAGCGTGATTTTTTAAGGTGTACAATGTGATGATTTAATATTAGAAGATGGAGGCCAGTGAGGGCAGTGGACATGCGCAGGGAAGGAGTGATAGGGAAGGATTTTTTTGTCACTGCTGGGTTTTTTTCCTTTCATAGAAAGTTAAATAGATTTACAGAAAAAAAGTTAGGTAGCAAACTAATTACTTAATAATATGTTCCACCAATCCCTATAAGACATACTTCAGACTTTATGATCATAAAAGTACATATACCTATTGTTTTATAGTCAGTTAAAAATTATTTCATATATATTATATTTATATGTGAGAATCCTCATACTTGTTATTATTAACATTTATAAAAGGCAAATATTTCAGAGTCATTTCAAAAGAAAACCTGGTAAGACTGGGCAGCTGTTCCTAGGGGATAAAGGAGTGAGTCAGTGAGGCTGGTGGTGTCCTTGACTCAAGTTTGGGAGCTGATGTTGAGTGATACAGAGATAAGGCCATGTGAAGACACAGTCAGACCGCCGTTGACAAACCAGGAAGAGAGGCTCTCACCTCCAACCCTGCCAATACCTTGATCTCAAACTTCCAGTCTCCAGAATTGTGAGAAAATAAATCTCTGTTGTTTAAGCCACCCAGTCTGATATTTGTTATCAGAAATACCTAGGCAACCATAGCAAACAGTGAAAATTTCCAAGGTCACATAGTGACTGAATGGCAGAATTGGGATTCAAAACTCAGTCTGATACTGCAGATCACACGGTCAACCATTACATTATATTGCTTCCCAGTGGTGGTAAACATCTGAACCTTGGCAGAAGAAATGGGATTCAAAATCATTACACAGAACTATGAAACACTTCAAAATGTAAGGTATATATTAACCCAAAGCTTATTTAGGCATGGCCCTGAGGTGTGTCCACGTAGCTATAAACTCTCCCAGCTTTTCTCTTAGAAATGAACTGCTCGGGGCTTCCCTGGTGGCGCAGTGGTTGACAGTCTGCCTGCCGATGCTGGGGACACGGGTTCGTGCCCCGGTCCGGGAAGATCCCACATGCCGCGGAGCGGCTGGGCCCGTGAGCCATGGCCGCTGAGCCTGCGCGTCCGGAGCCTGTGCTCCTCAACGGGAGAGGCCACAACAGTGAGAGGCCCGTGTACCGCAAAACAATAAAAAAAAAATAAACTGCTCGATGTGTGCAGAGGCCAATTATGATTGAAAAGAACTGCTCAACTGAAATATTATTAATAAACCTGCAGGAATAAGTCACTTTATTTGGTGATATAAGACACAGAAAGTTGCCATCATCCTTCCTGTCAGAGCTGAGTACAAATATTGGCTACAGTAGTAAGCCATATTTATTAAGGAGCAGCAAAAAAAAAAAAAAATCTCTACTCTTACATTGTCCCATGTAATTTCAATGTACAACAGGATCATTAACTTCCTTGCCTTTTGTCATTTACTGACCATCAGCAGTTTACAAAGCATAAAAACTTTCTTGTTAATAGGGACCTGCCTGTCAAGGATTGCCATTAAGATACTGTCACCAAGAGTCCTTGTTTCTTGGCTAACTGCACAGCAATATAATGTTCAGAAGTAGATGTCTCTGAAAATTCCCTGAATTTCTGAAAATTTCTAAAATAAGAAAAGAACATAATGACTGTAAATTCTCTTGAGTCCTTTGCTGGTCCTGGTATTACACAGAATTTCAGGAATAGTTTCCAGTGAAGTGTACAAATAGATTAATTATAGAAAATGTCTGCCACTAGCAGGAAATAAATTACATGGTTAACTGTTGTGTCAGAGACTAGCTGGATACTCATCTATGCTGCTTCTTTTCATAGGGCACACAGGGGAGAACTGACTCCTCAGAACCCTGGGCAGGCAGGTTGGAGCCATGTGACTAATTGTGGCCAATGGAATGGGAGCAGAAATGATGTGTTTGCCACTTCCATGTTTGGCCCCTAAAATCCTCTGTAAGATCCTCAGCTCTTATGCATTCTCATTATCCCTCTCTCATATCTATTTCTCTCTCTCTCTGTTTCTCCCCTCTCCCCCCTGCCCTCTCCTTCTCTGTCTCCCTCCTCATTTCCTCATCCTCATGGCCAAAGTGAAAAACTCCAATATGGTGAAACCATGTGATGAAATATGTTTGGATCACCACACGGAGGGAAACTGCTTGGGAAGGATGCCTGACCACATCAATCTTCCCGATATGAGAGAAAGAAATGTTTGTATTTTGTAGACCCTAAGGCTTGGAAGTTCTTTGTAAAACTCAACTTGAACTTAAAAAGTTGGCATCATACTTTCCTAACTTGTTTTTTTAATCATCACCTTCCAGATTAAATTACTTTCTTAACTCCTTCCTTGATAGCTTCATATTAAATAAATAATAAAACTTCTATGACCAGGGTGAGTCTTTACTGCCACCATCCATTCTCTTTCAAGGGAATAAAAGCCTATTCTGAAGCATTCATATAGTGAAGCAGACATTTATTAAGCACCTTACATATGCAGTCCCAGCAGTGATCTCAGCTTTTAAATGTACTATTCACTTAATCCTGACAACAGCCTTATGAAGAAGTTATCACTAGTATCCTATTTACCACAGAGAAAACTGAGGTCAAGAGAGGTAAGTATCATTCTGGTATCAGAGCTAGGATTCCAATTCTCCAGAGGAACTAGCTCTTTATACCAAAAGTAAGTGCTAATCTGCTTTTCAGGGGTCCCAAGTGCATGTCTCCATTTAAAAAACTTTGATGTACCAAGATTTTTTGAAAATTATTTTAGAGGATAGGTAGTATTGCTACAAGCACCATCTACATTACAAAGGGACTCCTTTAACGAATGAAAGCACAACTAAGATTAAGATGAGATAATCTGATCAATTCTTATTTACCTAAAGCTATTTGGGGAAAGCACTACTGTACACAGTGAGGCACACTCCCTTTTTCCCCTCCTTTTGTCTGCTTGGTTCATTCAGTCCTTATCTGTGAAACTAGAGAAGCATCTGGATTATGCCTAGAGACTGCAATGCTGTCCCCTGATGCAAAAAACAAAACAAAAACAAACAATTTTCATACCTGATGCAAAATACAAAACAAAAACAAACAATACTTTATCTTAACAAGATAATACGTGGTCCCTCTATGTAAGATTTAAATGCTGTGCCCTGTACAGGCAGCTAAACACCTATGGATTCTTCAGCTCAACAGACTGGGTGCCATTACTTGGTACCAAGACAGTCTTTTTGTTCTGCTCCCGAGATTACAGGAGTCACCAGTCTCTCCCAGTGTCCTTGCTCCTGACGTCAAACGTTAAACAAGCAGACCACACAATGCTGCACACACAGCTCTGTTTACTCCTGACCCTCACCCAGGGTGGTGCCTCTGGGTGCGGAAAAGGGTGCCCGGTAGTGACAAGACTTAAGTCCAGGGCCTCATATAAGACAACTATGCTTGGATTCACAAATACCATGCAAACCTGTTTACAGGTATACCAGACAAATACTGGGTAAAGATTAAGGGTCAGGTCATGCACGTTAGTCAGCCAAGATGAAAAACAGTCTCTGCTTCTGTTCGGAGAGAGCCACTCAGGCTAAAAATAATCTAATTTATATCTTAAGGAAAGAGATCAAATGAAATGAGAAAGACACACCCTGGATTACCGACTGGTTTTAGATCTGAGCCTTTTCATCGTTTTGTTCAATAAATTACAAGACGATTTGTTTGAAAGACAGTGATAATGGCAAACTGCTGATGAAAGATTCACAATTTAAAAATTTTAAATGATCCCTGGGAAATAAGCATTGTAAATTGCAAATATTCCCACTGAAGCTGAGAGATAAATTACCTGAATTTAGGAGGAAAAAAATAGGTATAATTAAGATTGGTAAAAATTTTAAATGTCACACACTTCCACAGGATTTACATTTTACTTAGAAGAGCACATATTTATCTATGGTTATGCATTTGTAATGTAGTAAGGCCAGTATTTAGAATGCCTGGACACCTCAGGTCTCAGGACAGCTCTGGGAAATAGTCAAGTGCAGACGACAACATCATTCCAGGCTAAAGAACACGGTGACCCAGTAAGGTTGGTAGGAAAATTGGACCTTAGATTCAAAGTCTTGCTGCTTTAAGCACTGAAATAGAGAGCTAACCAATTTATTCAAATTGTAAGTTACGTAGATCTAAAACCCTAAATGGTTCTCTGTGGACAAAAGCAAGTAGTATTCAATGTCTACATCATCCTACACTAGGGATGGCTGGAAGAAAACTGACACTATGACCCTAACATCTGAGCATGGGAAATTAAATATCCAGGCAATCCAAAGGGCACTATGTTAGATCCTGGAAATAAAATGCTAAGAAACATACTGAGTACCTTCCCTCATTAGGCTCACCATGAAGATTAAGTACAAGATGCTTTGACAGCACAGAGCAGGTGAACATGACCAAGCCTTGCAGTATGATGACCTGAAAGATGAGTAGATGCCAACTAGGCAGAAGTGGGGTGGGGGTGGCCTGTTCCAGGAACCAATAACCATAGGTTGAGGGGTTTGAGGGCAGGGGAGGGGCCAGCAGCAGTTCCTGTAAATGGAAGAAGCTGGTGAGGCTGAGGAGCTTAGAGTGGGGGAGGGACCAGCAGCATCAGATTGGGGGAGAAGTTAGCAAGAGCCAGATGACTGCACAGAGCCTGAAAGCACGGTAAAGACATGGGAGAGGGGCAATTATTCTGAGAG